GTGGAGCTGTTGAAGGTTGAAGAGGCTGTGAAGCGATGCTCCGGCGTGTGAGAGAAGCAACGGAGCACCTTGCGCAGCTTGCCTTGCACCTTGCCTTGGGCACCTTGGGCAGGAAGAGCTCATGGCAGAATGGTTTGCGTCAGAGGACATTGGGGTGTGGGGGCTGGGGGGGGCCCCCTGCAAAGCACAAAAACAAATGGTATTGCTAACACATTGCTAACACATTGAGAGGCCTCCCGATCTCCGGAGATGCGGTCTCGGGCGGTGGACTTCTTCACCCTCCGCTTCAAAACGCCTCTCGGCCTCAGAACTCCTCTGAGAACTCCTCTGAGAACTCCTCCGAGAACTCCTCTAAGAGGCTCTGAGGCTCTGAGGTTTCCTCAGCGCTCAGCCTGTGGACGTCCCCTGCGGTCTACGACTGTCGATGTTTGATGTTGTTTTGTACGATTGCGTGATTTTGGAGGCTGTGGTGCCCATATGGCACCCAACATAGCTGGCACGAGTGCGAGGTGCTCAGCTGCTCAGGTCGTCACGAGTCGTCACGAGTCGTCACGAGTCTCTTGCGGTCTTGTTCTGCGCCACTTACGGTGCACTGCCGCCAGGTCTCTATGCGACGAGCCCAGTTCAAGAATCTGAGCACCATATGTCAGAAGCAACGTGTGTCAGATTTGACTCCTTCTCTTTTGATCACAACAGCCGCTGCCCTTCGAGGCCCACACCGACCAGGCCCCGATTTGTGCTCTGAGTGGTTTTGAGTTTTGAGGGGTTTCTTCAGGGTTTTTCTGATGTGCGGAGAACATGCTGGGGGGTGGGGATAGTGGGGACATGGGAGAGCCGCAGTCGGGAGGAGAGTAGTGAGAGAATGTGGAAAGAGTGCACAGCGGCTGAGCGCACAAGACTCTGTTAGTTTTTTTGCCATGCCCTTGGTCAGAGCCGCTGCCAAGTCCTCCAGGACTGGCGACGGCGACCAGAACTGGGATACAGCAGCGAGCCTTGCGCAGAGTGACTCTGCACAAAAAAGAAAGGGTGCTCCGCGCAGTGGGTGCTCCGCGCAGTGGGTGCTCTGCGCAGTTTGAACATTTTCCTCAACAGAGTCTCCACAAAGGTGGGCAGCGCATGTCGGGGAACGGCTTCCCTACGCTGAGCCTATGCCCAAGCAGAGACTCGCCCCGAAGAGTGAAGACTGAATCACTGAAGACCTGTGCAAACAGGCGATGCTCCAGGGGCCTGCGGTGTGGCTTCGCTCATGGTTCAAAGGACCAGCATGAAATCGTCCTGAGAAGCTGTGACATGGAATCTGCCAGGAGCAGTTGTACCACCCTGCTTATTACAAGACGCCCCTCGGCCGCAATCAATGGGCCCGCAATCGGCACCTTCACCGGCCGCTTGTACAGGGTCCCCTCTGACTCTTTCTTCTTTTTTGAGCACCCAGGATGCCGTGCACGGACTGGGCGGCCGATGGCCGTTGCCCCCGCGGCCCGCAGTGTGCCTTCTACCACGACGTCGAGGAGCCTTAGAGCTCTCTGCTTTGCTGCTTTGCTGTTTTGCCCTTGCTGAGACGGCAGGAGGACAAGGAATAGCACCAAAGAACACAAGTCCAACCATCTTCAGGAAACAGAACTGTAGTGGATTCCCTGCAGACAGAGAAACTTGTCGGTTCTAGCTTGAGCCGCTTGAGCCGCTTGAGCCGCTTGAGCCGCTTGAGGTGCTTCAAGTGTGCCTTATGTGCTTTGTACCTGCTTTGCTTGAACCTTCCAACTAAAGTCGACATCTCCAGCGAGAGCTTGCTATGCTGTGGTGAGGCTTGTGAAGGTCAGGTGTAGGAATTTGCACCACTCGAGGAGCAGCGCATTGCCGAGGCCGAGTTGACGAATGCATCCGAGCACATCCGAACACATCCGAACACTCCTTTTTGACCACTCTTGCTGTTGCTTCTGTTGCTTCTCTGTTGCTTTTCTGTTGCTTTTCTTGCTGTTGTTCCTTTGTTCACAGCTGTTTGCTGCGAGTATCTCGGAATTCCTGGAGGCCTCTTTGTCGCCGCCATCGCCGGTGCGTGCGGCCCTCGAGAGCGGCGTTGCACATGCTGCACATCGATCAATTCGCCCCCAACTTCGCCGTGAGATTCTCCGCGTCTTTGCTACTCTTTTTGTCGCTTTCCTTCGCTTTCCTCCGCTTTCCTTCGTTTTCCTTCGGCTAGCTTCGGTTTGCATTCTGTGATGCTCTCTGAGGCTCGCGGGTTGAGCCTGGCCGGGTTGAGGTCCTGTCCGCACGGCCTCCTAGGCATTCTGTGTGTGAGACTGACGTCAGACTTGTATTGTGTTGACGTGGGAATCTGCACGTTGGCCCAGCAGACAGCAACAAGAAAGCATAGGAACTGCTGCTGACAGCAGGATCCAACACGAGGTGTGCATCCAACATGCCATTTAAGATGAGTGCCTCTTGCTCACCGGGGCGCGCTTGTGGGGGTGTGGGGGGGGGGGGGGTGTGTGGAGATACGTTTCACGGTGACTTGCACGAGTGAACCACTCGAATTAGAGGAGGCCGCAAGCCGAACTTTAGATGGTGCGGCGACCGCAGCCCACATGGGCTCCCGCTTTGTAGGCACTTTTTGTTTCAGCCAGGCTTTGAGGAATCTTTAGCAGGCACTTCACCCGAAAGAAACGCAGCCTTTGTGGGCAGGGGCTAGGGCGGAGAACGCCAACATTTCTTCGCCCGACCATGCGGACACGCGCATGATCACTCACAAGCAGTATTCAGCGTGACACATGACAATATATGACAATAGTCTACAGAATCGGGAGGGTCAGGAGTTGCCACTCGTGAGGATGTCATAATGTGAGTTTTCTGTTGCTTTTTGAGGTCCAGGAGCTCGAGGCTTCTTTGGCGGCCCGAAATGTCCTTGCACTCAGTGAAGCGCTGTTTCCTGCAGGTGTTCGTCAAGATGAAACGTCCTTTTTGAGTTTTCGGCTTCCGGGTTTCGGGGTGGTGTGGTGGGTTACGACCTACCACTGCTGCTAGCCACTGCTGCTTCGACCGCGAAGACGGGCTTTTTTTTGGCATCTTGAGTTCTATTTCCCGAGGTCCAAGACGTCTGTGCTGCCCGGCTTGGTCAAGCTGTTTTCAAAGCCTCTCAGCAGTTTTGTTTTTCAATTTTCGCCGCAGTTCTCAGAGGCCAGCGTGGCTGGGAGCGTCGATGGTGCGACGACGCTCAGTGGGAGGAGCGGCATGAGGCCGGGGGGGGGGACCTTGCCCGCGGTGCCGGAGCAGACGCCCGTTTTTGTTGGCCCGGAGTTTGCTCTCCAGAGAGGAGTTTGTCTTTTTTTTGAGACAGTCGATGCAACAGGACATCTTTCGGCTCTTTGGCATCTCTTGCATCCTTGGCCTCTTCCAATTCGGCCGCCTGGTTGCAGAGATGCGCAGGGTAAATCGCTTCGTGCTCTCGGCGTTTTCCTCCAGTGCCCTCCCCTTCCCCTTCCCCTCAGGGCTCGCCGGCTGTTGGCCCCTTGGCGCCGCTAGCACCATTGGCTGGCATGTTGGAGTTGGAGCCGGCATACGCCCGGGGACCCAAGGAGAGCACAAGGAGAGCACCGATGCGCCAAGCTTTCGCCAAGCTTTCACTCTTGGGCCCCTTTGCTCCTTTGCTGAGGTTCGCCTGCCACCGTGGGGAAACCAAGGGCACCTGGGCGCTTTCCCAGAAGATGAGGAGGAGAGCGTCACGAGTGTCACGGAGACTTCCGGAGTCCCCGGACACATGAGGGTCACCTGGGTCGAGTCTGAGTGCCTTGGCAGGCGGCAAGCATGAGAAATGTCGTCCGCTTGTGAGAGCTCTCGAATGCATCAATGATTGATTCCGTTAATTTTAGTCCCGGGGCGTGAATCTTGGGATCCGCCAGCGGGCAACCATCGAGCACACGGCAGAGTCGGGATCCGCAAAGAGGGTGTGCAATCATTGTAATCATAGTCTGAGTTGCAATGTGAACAGCATGAACGGGTCATTTGCGGACAGGCTGCTGGTCAAAAAGACCAGCAGGTCCTTTTCAACTGCTTAGGGCGAGCTTAGTTATCGTGCGCGTGCATTGAGGAGCTCAGAGCTTGTTGTGCACGCCTGATTTCACTTCCGAAGAATGGTGAACATGTGGGGGTGTCTTCACTTGACATGTTCGGGGCAAGATGTTCACCAATTCGTTGGAGAAATGTAAACAATGCTGGCTCGGCTAGCAGCTGATGCCCGTTGTCATCTGATTTTTGCATGCCTTGCGTGTTGTCCTGTTGTCTGGCAGATTCCAGTCGCTTTCAGCGATGCCGGCAAAGGACGGCGAAGTGCAGATGTAAGGTTTCCTGTTTCGAAGCTGCCAGAGCAGCCCTCTCTTAGAAGAGACATGTATAGGAAGCACCAAGAGCTGTATGAGCACCAAGAGAAGTGTAGCACCAAGAGCTGTAGCACATCAAGAGCTGTGTAACACACATCAGGAGAGCTGTGTTTAGCTCAAGGGCTGACGCGTGAGAGTCTGTGAGAGTCTGTGAGAGTCTGTGAGAGATGGGAGAGCCGCCACTGTCAGTTTCTCAGAGCCTGCACGGGCTTTGCTGGGCTTTGCTGGGCTTTGCTGTTTTCCAATTCAAGCCCTCAAAAGTCCCAGCAGGTGATTTGTATATAGTGACAAAGACTGCAATCCCCTGAATCCACGATTTTGCTGCCAGGCTTCTGGTGGGCAACGAAGATACATTTGGGGATTGGAGCCTTGCATTTGTTGTTGCCTTGTCTCTCTTGTTAACCAAGACCTGGTTGGTCGCTTTTAGGTGATGCTACCATCGTTTGACCAACCTTTTCCTGCGGATGTGCGATGTGCCTCACGGCGTCACGGCGTAGTCTTCTCTGTGAAATTCTGTGAATCTGCTCTGCGGAGCCAGTGCTGCGGGAGGCTGCAAGGGCAGCGGCTTCCGCAGTGAGAGCGACAGCGACACGAAGCTCTGCAAGGCCTTTCGGCCAGTGTGAAGTTTAGCTACGACGGCGCAGGTCGTCAGCAGCATGGTATGTAACGGTAAAATGGTGTAGATAATATGAGATAAGTACAAGTATGGCAAGTATGGGTAGTGTAGCCCACTGTAGCTTCTTGCCAGCCTTCCTTGTCGCCCTGCCGAATCCTTCGCCGGTACGAGGGATCGAGCAGATCCATGTTCAGAGGGATGAAAAGAAGGAAAGCAGAGGAAAGCCACATATGCGAAAGGAGACGTGCGCTTCGGGCGAAAAGAGAGCGGGGCTCGCGGGGAGGTAGACGAGAGGGCTCGTGACACTCGCTGAGCTTCGCGCACAGCCCATATGAGTCTTGAGTGCTTCTGCAGGATGCGCTCGGTCCGGGGCCCTGAGTGCCCGATGATCCCCCCCGATCCCCCCCTGAACCCCCGATCCCCTATGTTTCCAGAGTCCGTTTCCTGTAATTCATTGAGCTTCCGGCGCCACGTCTCGCATTCTCAAATAAGGTCTACATCACCACTGTTTTCAGCCTCTTTGTGGCCTTTGAGAGAACGCTTTGTGGCTGGATGCGGTAAATGCGCTGAGAAAGGTGACCGTCGCGCGGTTCAGATTTGAGCAGTGCAGTGCCCTGCGATTTCACATTGTTTGCATCCTGGCAGCCCTGGTCCAAGAACCCCCTGGCAGAGGGCCTAGACTGTACACAGCCTTATCAGATACTGAACCCAGTAGCCTGCCAAGGTCTTAGCACTTGCGATCTTCAGATTTCCATTGGCACCTGTTGGCATATGTCGTGTGGGGCAGTGGGGCACTGCTGAAGGTGACGAAGAAACATATCGTCACGTTCCTGCACAAGCAGCCGGGCACGTGGATTGTTCGGTGTCTTTGCCTTCCCTTCCGGCACGTGCCCCTTCCACATGCTCCACTCTGAAAAGCTCTCAGAAAGCTCACAGAAAGCTCACGAAGCACGCAACACACGACGCCTCTGGCACCGAGGTCGTCGCGCAGAGAGGGAGCAACGCGTTTTTTGACACCGAGAGCTTTGGGCCCTCCGGCGCATGAAGGCGCCGACAGTGACTCAGAGGGAGAATTGCAAGGGGGGGTCGAATATATGCCCCTTTGTTTTTTTCAGGTGCTGGGCCGGCCTTCTTCGTGCTGCCTCTGGCTCCTTGGGCTCCTCCAGCCCGCGGCGTCGCTGAAGTCCACGGACCTCCTCCAGCGCTTCCTGCCGAGCCTGCCCAAGACCCTCGAGGAGAGCTAGAGAGGGGGGGGACCTCTGTCATTTGAGTCTTTTAAGAAACTGAGAGAGCACAAATGTTGAGGTGTTGAGACTGAATCGAGCTCGTTGAGCAACACTGCAGAAGATACGATGCGCCAAGGTCAGGTTTACTTTGAGTGTTTGAGTGTGCTGTCTCGTCAGGCTCGGTTCTCCCAAAAACCCTTCGCCCTGGGGCCTCCGGATCGTCCGTGCACTTGGAGACATAGAGAGCTTGTGAGCTTGTTGACTTCATGTTTTGTCTGCAAGCGTCGGGAGCTTGGGGGGGCCATCTGACCGCAAAAGCACCCAGCTGATGCTCATGATGCTCGCCTCCCGCTTCGTCCCATCTGCACAGTCACTGGGGCGAAGGTGTTTGCAAGCGTCGGGAGCTTGGGGGGGGGCCATCTGACCGGAAAAGCAGCCAGCTGATGCTCATGATGCTCGCCTCCCGCTTCGTCCCATCTGCACAGTCACTGGGGTGAAGGTGTTTGCAAGCGTCTGGAGCTTGGGGGGGCGATCTGACCAAAAAAGCAGCCAGCTGATGCTCATGATGCTCGCCTCCCGCTTCGTCCCATCTGCACAGTCACTGGGGCGAAGGTTTTTGCAAGCGTCGGGAGCTTGGGGGCTGCCATCTGACCAAAAAAGCAACCAGCTGATGCTCATGATGCTCGCCTCCCGCTTCGTCCCATCTGCACAGTCACTGGGGCGAAGGTGTTTGCAAGCGTCGGGAGCTTGGGGGGGGGGCCATCTGACCGGAAAAGCAGCCAGCTGATGCTCATGATGCTCGCCTCCCGCTTCGTCCCATCTGCACAGTCACTGGGGTGAAGGTGTTTGCAAGCGTCTGGAGCTTGGGGGGGCGATCTGACCAAAAAAGCAGCCAGCTGATGCTCATGATGCTCGCCTCCCGCTTCGTCCCATCTGCACAGTCACTGGGGCGAAGGTTTTTGCAAGCGTCGGGAGCTTGGGGGCTGCCATCTGACCAAAAAAGCAGCCAGCTGATGCTCATGATGCTCGCCTCCCGCTTCGTCCCATCTGCACAGTCACTGGGGCGAAGGTGTTTGCAAGCGTCTGGAGCTTGGGGGGGCCATCTGACCGGAAAAGCAGCCAGCTGATGCTCATGATGCTCGCCTCCCGCTTCTTCGTCCCATCGGAGCTTCGGGGGGCCATCTGGCCGGAAAAGCAGCCAGCTGATGCTCATGATGCTCACCTCCCGCTTCTTCGTCCCATCGGCGCAATCACTGGGGCGAAGGTGTTTGCAAGCGTCGGGAGCTTGGGTGGGCCATCTGACTGGAAAAGCACCCAGCTGATGCTCATGATTCTCGGGCCATCTGACCGCAAAAGCACCCAGCTGATGCTCATGATGCTCGCCTCCCGCGCCTCGTCCCATCGGCGCAATCGCTGGGGCGAAGGGCTTTGCAAGCGTTTGGAGCTTAGGGGGGGCATCTGACCGAAAAAGCACCCAGCTGATTCTCATGATGCTCGCCTCCCGCTTCTTCGTCCCATCGGCGCAATCACTGGGGCGAAGGGTTTTGCAAGCGTTTGGAGCTTAGGGGGACCATCTGACGGAAAAGCACCCAGCTGATGCTCATGATGCTCGCCCCCCGCCTCCCCATCGGCGCAATCACTGGGGTGAAGGGCTTTGCAAGCGTTTGGAGCTTAAAGGGCCATCTGACTGGAAAAGCACCCAGCTGATGCTCGTCCCATCGGCATATTCAGTGGGGCGAAGGGCTTTGCAAGCGTTGGAGCTTAGGGGGGCCATCTGACCGGAAAAGCACCCAGCTGATGCTCATGATGCTCGCCTCCCGCCTCGTCCCATCGGCACAATCACTGGGGGGAAGGGCTTTGCAAGCGTTTGGAGCTTAGGGGGCCATCTGAAGCACCCAGCTGATGCTCATGATGGCCTCCCGCCTCGTCCCATCGGCACGGCACAATCGCTAGGGCGAAGGGCTTTGCAAGCGTTTGGAGCTTGGGGGGGCCATCTGACCGGAAAAGCATCCAACTGATGCTCATGATGCTCGCCTCCCGCCTCGTCCCTTCGGCACAATCACTGGGGCGAAGGGCTTTGCAAGCGTTTGGAGCTTAGGGGCCATCTGACCGGAAATGATGCTCATGATGCTCGCCTCCCGCCTCGTCCCATCGGCACAATCACTGGGGCGAAGGGCTTTCCAAGCGTTTGGAGCTTACGGGGGGCCATCTGACCGGAAAAGCACCCAGCTGATGCTCATGATGCTCGCCTCGCGCCTCGTCCCATCGGCGCAATCACTGGGGCGAAGGGCTTTCCAAGCGTTTGGAGCTCACGGCGGGCCATCTGACCGGAAAAGCACCCAGCTGATGCTCATGATGCTCGTCTCCCGCCTCGTCCCATCGGCACAATCAGTGAGCGAAGGGCGATGCAAGCGTTTGGAGCTTAGGGGGGTCATCTGACCGGAAAAACACCCTGCTGATGTTCATGATGCTCGCCTCCCGCCTCGTCCCATCAGCACAATCACTGGGGCGAAGGGTTTTGCAAGCGTTTGGAGCTTCGGAGGGCCATCTGACCGGAAAAGCACCCAGCTGATGCTCATGATGCTCGCATCCCGCCTCGTCCCATCGGCACAATCACTGGGGCGAAGGGCTTTCCAAGCGTTTGGAGCTTACGGGGCCATCTGACCGGAAAAGCACCCAGCTGATGCTCATGATGCTCGCCTCCCGCCTCGTCCCATCGGCACAATCACTGGGGCGAAGGGCTTTCCAAGCGTTTGGAGCTTACGGAGGGCCATCTGACCGGAAAAGCACCCAGCTGATGCTCATGATGCTCGCCTCCCGCCTCGTCCCATCGGCACAATTATGGGGCGAAGGGCTTTCCAAGCGTTTGGAGCTTACGGGGGGCCATCTGACCGGAAAAGCACCCAGCTGATGCTCATGATGCTCGCCTCCCGCCTAAGGGCTTTGCAAGCGTTTGGAGCGTGGGGGGGGCATCTGACCGAAAAAGCACCCAGCTGATTCTCATGATGCTCACCTCCCGCTTCTTCGTCCCATCGGCGCAATCACTGGGGCGAAGGGTTTTGCAAGTGTTTGGAGCTTAGGGGGGCCATCTGACTGGAAAAGCACCCAGCTGATGCTCATGATGCTCGCCTCCCGCCTCGTCACATCGGCGCAATCTGACCGGAAAAGCACCCAGCTGATGCTCGTCCCATCGGCATATTCAGTGGGGCGAAGGGCTTTGCAAGCGTTGGAGCTTAGGGGGGCCATCTGACCGGAAAAGCAAAGCTGATGCTCATGATGCTCGCCTCCCGCCTCGTCCCATCGGCGCAATCACTGGGGCGAAGGGCTTTGCAAGCGTTTGGAGCTTAGGGGGGCCATCTGAAGCACCCAGCTGATGCTCATGATGCTCGCCTCCCGCCTCGTCCCATCGGCACGGCACAATCGCTAGGGCGAAGGGCTTTGCAAGCGTTTGGAGCTTGGGGGGGCCATCTGACCGGAAAAGCATCCAACTGATGCTCATGATGCTCGCCTCCCGCCTCGTCCCTTCGGCACAATCACTGGGGCGAAGGGCTTTGCAAGCGTTTGGAGCTTAGGGGCCATCTGACCGGAAAAGCACCCAGCTGATGCTCATGATGCTCGCCTCCCGCCTCGTCCGATCGGCACAATCACTGGGGCGAAGGGCTTTCCAAGCGTTTGGAGCTCACGGCGGGCCATCTGACCGGAAAAGCACCCAGCTGATGCTCATGATGCTCGCCTCCCGCCTCGTCCCATCGGCACAATCAGTGAGCGAAGGGCTTTGCAAGCGTTTGGAGCTTAGGGGGGTCATCTGACCGGAAAAACACCCAGCTGATGTTCATGATGCTCGCCTCCCGCCTCGTCCCATCAGCACAATCACTGGGGCGAAGGGTTTTGCAAGCGTCGGGAGCTTCGGGGGTTATCTGACCGGAAAAGCACCCAGCTTGATGCTCATGATGCTCGCATCCCGCCTCGTCCCATCGGCGCAATCACTGGGGCGAAGGGCTTTCCAAGCGTTTGGAGCTTAGGGGGCCATCTGACCGGAAAAGCACCCAGCTGATGCTGATGGGACGATCACTGGGGCGAAGGGCTTTGCAAGCGTTTGGAGCTTAGGGGGGCCATCTGACCGGAAAAGCACCCAGCCCGGAAAAGCACCGTCCCATCGGCGCAAGCACTGGGGCGAAGGCCTTTCCAAGTGTTTGGAGCCGAAAGGCAAAGCACCCAGCTGATGCTGATGGGACGATCACTGGGGCGAAGGGCTTTGCAAGGGTTTGGAGCTTAGGGGGGCCATCTGACCGGAAAAGCACCCAGCCCGGAAAAGCACCCAGCTTGATGCTCATGATGCTCGCCTCCCGCCTCGTCCCATCGACGCAATCACTGGGGCGAAGGGCTTTCCAAGCGTTTGGAGCTTAGGGGGCCATCTGACCGGAAAAGCACCCCAGCTGATGCTGATGGGAGGATCACTGGGGCGAAGGGCTTTGCAAGCGTTTGGATCTTAGGGGGGCCATCTGACCGGAAGAGCACCCAGCTTGATGCTCATGATGCTCGCCTCCCGCCTCGTCCCATCGGCGCAATCACTGGGGCGAAGGGTTTTCCAAGCGTTTGGAGCTTAGGGGGCCATCTGACTGGAAAAGCACCCAGCTGATGGACGATCACTGGGGCGAAGGGCTTTGCAAACCTTTGGAGCTTAGGGGGGCCATCTGACCGGAAAAGCACCCAGCCCGGAAAAGCACCCAGCTTGATGCTCATGATGCTCGCCTCCCGCCTCGTCCCATCGGCGCAATCACTGGGGCGAAGGGTTTTCCAAGCGTTTGGAGCTTAGGGGGCCATCTGACTGGAAAAGCACCCAGCTGATGGACGATCACTGGGGCGAAGGGCTTTGCAAACCTTTGGAGCTTAGGGGGGGCATCTGACCGGAAAAGCACCCAGCCGGAGAAGCACCCAGCTTGATGCTCATGATGCTCGCCTCCCGCCTCGTCCCATCGGCGCAATCACTGGGGCGAAGGGCTTTCCAAGCGTTTGGAGCTTAGGGGGCCATCTGACCGGAAAAGCACCCAGCTGATGCTGATGGGCCGATCACTGGGGCGAAGGGTTCTGCAAGCGTTTGGAGCTTAGGGGGGCCATCTGACCCGGAAAAGCACCCAGCCCGGAAAAGCACCCAGCTTGATGCTCATGATGCTCGCCTCCCGCCTCGTCCCATCGTTTCCAAGCGTTTGGAGCTTAGGGGGGCCATCTGACCGGAAAAGCACCCAGCTGACGCTGATGGGCCGATCACTGGGGCGAAGGGCCAAGCGTTTGGAGCGTAGGGGGGCCATCTGAGCGGAAAAGCACCCAGCCCGGAAAAGCACCCAGCTTGACGCTCATGATGCTCGCCTCCCGCCTCGTCCCCATCGGCGAAATCGCTGGGGCGAAGGGCTTTCGCAGGCGTTTGGAGCTTGGGGGGGCCATCTGACCGGAATAGCACCCAGCCCGGAGAAGCACCCGGCTTGATGCTCCTGATGCTCGCCTCCCACTTCGTCCCATCGGCGCAATCGCTGGGGCGAAGGGCTTTCGCAAGCGTTTGGAAGCAGCCATAGTGCGCCAGAACGCAAGCAGAGAGTCCAAGGCCTGATCGACTACAGCCTTCAGGCCGCCCCCGGCGCACATTTTTTTTGGCGTATTTCCTTTTGTCCTCCCAGTTTTTGTTGCTTGCTGCTTGCTTCTTTCCGCTTTCCCAGGAAGGCGACCTGGGCAGAACCCCGGGCTGCGAGCTGAGAGGGAACTCGGGAGGGAATAGGGAAAGGCAAAACAGAGCCAACGATTCCACGGTACGCTCAAACGTGTTCAGGATCGGACGTGCCCTTCCGAGTCACTGGGCATGATTACGCAAGTTGAGAGGGCGTCTTTTCTGAGCATCAGCTACTTGTGGAAATCCAAGCGCCGGCTCACGCAATTGCCCAACGTCACTCAGGAAAGTCTGCGCAGCCATCCAGATCCAAGCCTGTGCGCCTTTTGCACTGCTCACTTGTACGGTCTTGCTACGAGCCAAAATTTTGTGTGTTCTCGCCGTTCCCTTTTCATGAGGTGGCGACCGCATGCTGACCCCGTAGGCACGGCTTTAGAAGGTTCTGCTTTAGTTTTCATCGGTCAGCCGAGATGAAACCGCGTTCAAATCCTGAGCACATTTGGAGCTAGACTCTCATTGGAGGCATCTCTGCTGGTGTCGTGGTCTTCTTCTATGCCGTGTACTCCTTGTACAAGTACCAGCGCGAGGTGCGGGGCCGGAGAAAGGGCGAGGTCCCTGGGGGCATCCCAGGGCCGAATAAAACTGCGAATGAATATGCTACAAAAATGCAGCTCTGCAAGGCGAACCGCATCATCAGCCTTTTTGAGGCCAACACCCAAATCAAGGTGCGAGCTGTGCGCCCTGTGCACCATATTTGTACGGCCTTTTCGTGCGCTATTTGCTGCGCATACTGCCTGCGCTCTTGAGAATTGCAAAGGCCCTGCATGTCAGAGCGAGGGCTCATGCTCAATTTCAACTTTCTGTAACATTGGGCCGCGCTTGACCAGAATTCTGGTGTCAGCCACTTAAGCTCAAGGATCATGTCCGATCATGTCCAGCGATTCTCCACGCCATGGGTATGTTGCGGCCAGAATGGTGCGAGAGAGCCCCGAAGATTATGATGCTCTCCAGGAGGATACCAGTCTGCATGCCTTGCAAGACCAGCTGCACGAAATGCAGATGCAGGACAGTTGGCCTTGAGGGGCCATGAGGGGGGTGGGATGGGGTGGGGGCTTCTGCAATTGCGAGCTGTAGAAACACACACGGGGATCGCGTCACGGCGTTACAGCTTCGAAGCTGCAAGCCCTTGCGCGGAGCCGAGCAGGAAGAGGATTTGGTACAGCAAATTGACACGCTCATGAAGGCGCGGGCGTTGACCGCTGCGCGCTGAAGCTTTGTCCCCGTCTTTGTGCTTGGATGCCTGAGGCATTCCAAGTGAAGCGAGCTCCAATCGAGGAGAACCTCAACACCCTGCGCTGCCTCCTCAGCAAAATTGTAAACGCTTGTGCGCGCCGCCTCGGCAGCCTGGCCGGCCAGGACAGGAAGGGTTTCGCAAAACAAGGGGAGGAAGGGCAGCGGGGTCAAAGGGGGGGGGGTTGGGGGGGGGTGGGGGGGGGGGTGGGGGGGGGGGTGGGGGGGGGTGGGGGGGGGGGGGTGTGGGGGGGGTGGGTGTGGGGGGTGGGGGGGGGTGGGGGGGGTGGAGGGGGAGGGGAGGTGGGTGGCCACAGAGGGCGGGGGGGGTGGCATCAGAAAATTTTGGATGGGACCGATCCGGGTCTGCTTGTTCCAGACGCTTCTCGGCAGGAAGCCGAGGCGAACATGTAAAGCAGACGAAGCCATGGAAGCTTGTTTGGATGTTTGATGACCTCGTCGGTAAGTCGAGAAGGTGACAAGAAGTATCGAGAAAATGGAGTGTCGAAAACAGTGCTCAAAAGGAAGGGGATCTGAAGTACACAGTTGCAGATGTTGCAAGTTGAGTTCAAAACTCTATCCGCCTTGGCGCGTCATGGTGCGTCTTGGCCGCTTTCCCACGCTAACAGAGAAGAAGAGGCCCTGAGTTTTTTTCCCTCGTTGATCTTGAAGGGCACTTCGAGCGTGCACTTCAATCACACATGGCGCTCATGGCTGTCATGGCTGTCATGAAAACATGTTTTTGGAGCATTGCTTCACTTCGGCTTCTTGCAGTTTCGCACTTTCGTGCATTATCAGGAAAGAAAGCTCCTGGTGTGGTGTAGTTGTAAACATTGCCAACGCTAGAGCGCATTGCCTTGACAGTCGAAGCCAATGCAATCCACGGGAGGAGGGGGTCTTGCAGCTCTTGCAGCCCTCAAGAGGCCCTGGCTACGGGGAGCTTGAGCGGTTCTGGGGCATCTGGGGCCCTCTCCTGCATCGCAACCCGACTGTGCGCTCAAAATCGTTGCTGAGAGGCTGACGCTTGCTGCTTCTGCAGCTTGCAGCTGCTTGCAGCTGCTTGCAGCTGCCTTGCAAATGAAATTTCGCTGCGCCCAGGGCTTTTCCGGTTTCCCCTCTCCGCTTCCGCCTCTCGGCCCGCTCGGCCTGTGCAGCTCGATGTAGCATCCCAGCCCATGCACCGCGCAGCGACACGGATGCCATGCCCCATCCGCCACACCTTATGTCGTCATGCCGTTTCAGGGGTGCCCGCATCCAAGAAGGGGGTTTCACACGTCGCAGAATGTCGCGGACACCAGAACTTGGTCTGCCTGGTCCAGCACTCTCCCCTGGACGTCTTCGCTAATTTGCGGCCCGTGCCCGCTAACATTTTTTTTCTTTTGGACCCCGTCCGAGGTTACCATCACAATCACGCGGCCGTGAAGGCATGTGTTCAGGCATGTGTGAAGGCATGTGTGAAGGCATGTGCAGCATGCCACCATCACACTGCGGCAGTTTGCGCAGTGCAGTCAGTTTCGTCCCCATGGTGGCCGAAACCACTGAAACCGCGCGGCGGCTACGGCAGCTTTGCGTGTGCAGCAGCTTCCGCCCCCGGGCCGCTCTCCCCAGCTCTCCGCAGCTCTCCGCAGGCGAGCGGCGAGATGAAGTTTCCAGGAATTGACTGGACCCCCCGCATTGATCCTGCGGAGCGGCGGAGCGGCGGAGCGGCGGCGGAGCGGCCCTCTCGAGCACGTCTTGAGAAGAGGGAAAACAAGGCCTCCTCCCTCCTCGGCCTCCCTTCTCTGCTTTTGGGGGCTCTTTGGGGGGGCGTCCTTTGGTGTCATGCCGAGGCCTCCGCTTCGAGATTCTTCGATTCTCCTCTCCGCGCCCGGTGGCGCCACCCCCCCCCCCGTTCTGCCCGCCTGCTTCCCTCTTCTCGTGGTTCTGCCCTATGGGAGACGCCTTGGCAAAGCTCTTTGCTCCGCTGTGACTGCTCAGGAAACTCCAGATCTCGACATGTCTATCTTGTCTAGTCTGTTGGGATTTGTGCTTTTGGGAAGAGGAAGCTTCTCCTTGCAGCCTGTGATCTCTCTTGCAATTTTGGATGCCTTACGATGCTTACAGTCTTCTTACGCTATGCGGTTTCTTGTGATTTCGCGCCGCCCTCAGAAGAGCTGTTGCACATTAGCGGTTCAGAGGCCGCTGTCCTCGTTTGCACAATTGTGGGCCTCAGAAAATGGGCCCCCCCAATTTGGACGTCTGAGGTGATGGCATCCATGACAAGGACTGGCTTGGAAGCAGCAAGCGATGGGCCGATGGGGCGATTAACCTTTTGCCTTGGAAAGGTTGGTGTTGTACTTACGCTCGCACGGTTTGCTGCCTCCCTGAATCAGAAAGCGCGTGGAAGGTCGTGTGGACAGCTGCACAGGGAGTGGTCGGAGTCGAAAGTTGGGGCTCAAGGCCCACAGAGTCAAGGCTCAAGGCTCAAGGCCGGGGAGTTTGAGGCGGCTGTTGGGTGTGGTGTTAAGGGTTTTGGCAGTTTTGGGATGCTTAAGGGGGCTCCCAGACAGGCTCCCGGACAGGCTCCCAGACAGTGGGGCCGTTCCGCCGCGGGATTGGAGAGGATTGGGAACCAGAAATTTCTCCTGAGCTTCAGGACGCATCCTGACGATTTTATATGGAGGAACTTGTGAGGTTTCGCGACGACGCAGGTCAGAACCTGTCCGTCGATTTGGTCCTTCAATCGTGATGCTGTCGCGGATAGTTCGAGATGCTCAAAAACATGGCTCAACATGTGACAGAATCTCTTTGTGGCGGGAATATCAAGACCAACGTCCCGATTCTTCTGCTGGAGCCGTTTTTGTGGCTTTCAAAATGTTGAGAAGAGCCCTGCAGGCATGGCACCGCGTGTCTCACGCGGGCACCGCTAGGTGAGTTTCCCAGGTTTCTAAAGAAAGGAGAGAGCCTTGTAGGCAGGATGCGTGGGGAGACAGTTGAACTTGCGGGCGGGGGGGGGGGGGTCTGGGGGGCGGGGGGGCGCGTGTGGTTACAAAAAACGGGGATTGGCGGGGGAACAGATGAGGCACGTGTGGCACCCATCTTCCAAACGAAGCATAAGGAGAAGCCGAAGGCAGGATTGATCTCGAAGCAAGACTCGAGGCAACAACCTGAAGTGCCCCCCCCCCCCTGTTCTGCACAAGATAGCAACCTGACAGTTTTCAACACGTTTTTCAAGAGTTCGGTTTTGGTGTTCCGGCTTATGTGGCGTTCTCCACAGATTCCGTTTTCCTGATCAATGTGCGTGACAGAGGCATCATCAGCATTGCGTTCCTTGTGTTGAGTTGTGGCATCGCGCTGGCATTGTTCTTAAGATGGGATGGGTTGAGGCTGCTGGTTCGTAGCAACACTGGCCATCCACAGTAAGTACATGTAAATGCCGTGAGTGCGCTTAGTCTGGGCGAGGAGATGGCAATTTGGCATCTCGACCACGATGAAGACGAAGTGGCTCCGGGACCGAGAAGCCTCGCCTTCGTACATGGCACCTTGCTTCGAACGTGGATGAAAAACAATTGGATCAATGTCTGTTCTATTTTGCATCTGGCACTTCGAGCTCCAGCTAAAGAAGGTCTAAAGCTTTGTGCAGAGTGTGATACAAAAAGGCGGAGGGGCTCAAACGTTTGCCGCTCCGAGGCAACGTCTTCACGGCACTCTGCTCGCTTGCCTCCCGGCTGAAAGCCCACAAGAGACATTGCGAGATCATGCAGCCACACATCTGGAATCACATGCATCCATTGCATCCATTGTCAAATGTGTACTTTGTGATGTTCAAGATCTTCAGGTAATCCTTGCCAACATGGTTGTGATGGTGGTGGAGTTCCGGGCCGATGAGGCGAGAGTCATCTAAAGAGGAGATGTCAAGAGATTCGTCAAGATATGTAGGGCAGTGCATGCAGTGCAGGGACAAGGAGTGGCAGGCGAGGAGCACGCAGACTGGATGCCAATCAAGCAACAGCCTTTTCGCAATGAACACACCTCTCACAATCAAAAACTACTTTGGCAAGCAAAAAGTGTCTTGTTTGTAGAGCCCAAGTAAGAGAAAAGAATGGCAGGAAGGACGGAACTTGGCAGGGAGGGAATGAAGGAAGGAAAGAAGGAAGGAAGGAAGGAAGGAAAAGGAAGGAAGGAAAAGGAAGGAAGGAAAAGGAAGGAAGGAAAAGGAAGGAACAAAGGAACAAAGAAACCACCATCACTACTACTACTACTACTACTACTACGACGACGACGACGACGACGACGACTGCTGCTGCTGCTGCTTCTGCTACTACTACTACTACTACTACTACTACTACTACTACTACTACTACTACTACTACTACTACTACTACTACTACTACTACTACTCCTACTGCTGCTGCTGCTGCTGCTGCTGCTGCTGCTGCTGCTGCTGCGGCTGCTGCTACGCTACTACTACTGCTACTGCTACTGCTACTGCTACTGCTACTGCTACTGCTACTGCTACTGCTACTGCTACTGCTACTGACATGCCACTGCTTCTGCTTCTGCTTCTGCTTCTGCTTCTGCTTCTGCTTCTGCTACTGCTACTGCTACTGCTACTGGTACGACTAGTACTACCAGTACTGCCAGTAGTAGTAGTAGTAGTAGTACTACTACTACAACTACTACTTCTACTACTCCTACTACTACTACTACGACGACGACGACGACTACTACTACTACTACTGCTACTACTGCTGCTACTACTACTACTACTACTACTACTACTATTACTAAGACGACGAATTCCAGTACTCCTACTACTACTACTACTACTACTACTACTGCTACTACTACTGCTTCCACGACTACTGCTACTACTACGACTACTACTACTACTACTGCTACTACTACTACTACTACTACTACTACTACTACTACTACTACTGATACTACTACTGCGACTGCCACTAGCACCACTAGCATCACTAGCACCACTAGCACCACTAGCACCACTACCACTACCACAAAAGCAGTGCGGCCTTCTCATGATTCTCATGCTCCGTCAGAAGCAAGCCTGGTTCGCTTTGGCCGACAATGGCTTCCTAGTCTTCTACTGCGGCGAGTTGCTCCTGAAAACGTTGTATTATCGCCAAACCCTCTTCCTCGGACGCTGTTCACACGCTGCTCGGCTTTGCTTAACAGCTTTGCACTGGGCTTTTTTTAACTCAGTAATGTTCGTCAAGTCAGTCACTGAGATTACTGTCAGTTCCTGTCTCCAGGTGTGGTGGAATTGGCTGGACCTCATCATCGTGATCAGTGGCATTTTCGAACAAGTGATCCTCCCTTTGCTGGGCAGTTCTATTGCTGGAGGGCATGTTCACCTTTCTGGCCTGAGGGCGTTACGGCTCTTGAGGTGGCTTGACGAGTTTGATTCGGGGGTGGGCTTCCCAATCATCTCATCCCATACCAGGTTTTAATAGGGCATCATCGACCTGAGATGGCAGTTCATGTCTTCGCAAGAATGACAAGCTGCATATTTATATCTAATATTGGGGGTGGGCTCTACCATCATTTACTATGGGATTTGCGCTACCCACCCTGGGCCCTCCGCTACAGCTCCGTTACAGCACCTGCTACAGCTCCGTTACAGCTCCGTTTCACCTCCGTTACAGCTTCGTCACAGCTTCCGCTGGAGTTCCTTACAGCTCCGTTACAGCTCCGTTGCACCTGCGTTACAGCTCCCTTGCACCTCCGTTACAGCTCCTTGACATCTTCCGTTGGAGCTGCGTTGCAGCTCCATTGCACCTCCGCTACAGCTTCCGTTGCAGCTCAGTTATACAGCTCCGTTGCAGTTCCGTTACAGGTCCGTTATCCAGTTGCTGCGCTCCGTTGCAGCCTTCCGATATGGCTCCGTTACAGCTCCTCAACAAATCCGTTACAGCTCCGTTCCTTTCCGCTGCAGTTTCTGTTATATAAGCCCCGTTACCGGCGAGCATCTCTGTCATAGTAGAGGCCTGCAAATGATGGTAGAGCCCCGCCCCATATATAATATGTTGTATGACGAATAATCTTAACGCTACGCGACCCGCCTCGGCCCGGCCCAGCGCATCCGCGTGAGCATGGTGATTCCGCAGCGCCCAAGTCGCTGGCAATAAGGGTTGGGTTTAGGGTTTGACCAAGTATCCCTTGCTGAGTGAAGACACGGTTGCACCTGGCTTCAAGGTTTCAGGGGTAGATGCCTACGGCGTGGCTGTGGAGTGCGCTCGGGGCCGGCAGCGAGCTGCTGCGGGGTTTATCCCCTGCTTTCTGTCCCGCCTGTCCGTGGGGACTTGTGGGACTGCTCGTGCTCCTTGCGTGCTGCTTGGGCTGCTGCCTAGGGGCCTCCTTAGCCAGTATCTTCCTTTCGCCATTGCTTCGACGAGCCTGCCTCAGTGCTGGTCGGATTCTTCTTGCTGGACTACAAGCCGGTGAGGTCACCCGGGCTGCACCTGATCTTCGGCGTTTGTCCGAGTACAGACAGGCTCGGTCAGTGCGCGAGCGAGACTCCTGAACAAAAGCTCGAAGAGATCACTTTGCGTGTGGGGGCTTCGCAAATTTGCAACCGGGGCAGAGCGCTACAGCCGGTGACCTTTGGGGAGTCAGGCTTCACTTTGACTTTGTTTGAAGGCTCAGCTGGGACTAACCTCCAGGAGCAGACCTCAGCGCTTTCGTGAGAACGGTGCTGGCTGCTTCGCCAAACGAGCTCGTCCGCCAGGTGAGACCGGCTTTGCTGTGTGTTGCCTTCCTTTGCTTCGGCTGCGGATAGCGTCTACGTGGTCCCTCAGTGGCGCTTTCTACGGCCTGAACGGCCATGGCCGCCGCCGCCGCTCTGAACAAGCCCCCATGTACCCAGGCACAGGTGGAGGCCCTCGGCGAGACGATCGAACCCGGAAAGGCCCTGCCTGCGCTCTTTGCGCTGCTGGGGAAAGATGGCGAGGATGGTGCTGGGCCCAGCCGCTTGGGGGGCATGGTGGTTTTCTGGTTGTTTTGCCTTTCGACGACCGTGTCATCGAGGCCATGCGTGCGCTAAAGTCCGACGATGGCGAGGATCTGGTCTTGGAGCACCGTGCCAGGGTGGAGCTGGAGACGGTGCGTGGGCGCACACTCGGCAAGCGCGACGTCTACTTCGTGGATGTGCCCTGGGAAGGGGTAAGTGGCTTCACAAAGAGCCACCCTCTGCGAGGGGCAGCTGCCCGCGAACTCCGACTGACTGCCTTCTCCGCCGAGGGCGTCTCCGCGCGCCCACGAACTGTAAGCGTGCTGCGGGCAGCGGCGCGCTGGGTTCAGACGGCCATGGACAGCTCTACAGCCGCCGAGTATGTCACCGGCGAGGACGAAGAAACTGGGATGGGGGTGCCAGAGACCGCTGTCCTGTCCGAGGACGAGGCGGAGGTCGATGGCCAGCCCGTGGAAGAGCAGGAGATGGTGAGCTTCTTGCAGGACCGGATTCGACAACTCGAGGCTGTCCTGAACCAGAGGCCCCAACCACAAGACGATCGGACCGCCAGTGGACGCTCGGCGCCTCTTCTGGCGAGACCCTCCCAAGGCTTGGACACTGGGGCCCTCGAGCGACTGCGCAGCTTGGCGGGACCTCCTCCGCGGCAGCCTCTTCTGGGGCAGACCCCAAAGGTTGCAGCTCCACGCCCGCCAGCTGTTCTCCGAGATTCTCTCTTCAGGGAAGCAGAGCTGGGGGCCTTACCGGAAGTTGCAGCCGAGGACCCGTTTGTCGGGGGCCGACTCAGCACCGGATCCCCTGCACCAGCTACTGGCTCTGTTGGTGGATCGTGTAGCGCCGGCAAAGCAGCAGGACGCCGTAGCAGCAGCGCTAAGCAGCGGCCAGGGCAGCGGAAGCGACAGCTCAGGCATAAAAGGATGCTTGGCGAGGGAAGCCTTTTTGCGGCAGATCCAAGACCTCCCGACAGTGGGGGAGATCGCTCGTGTCAACGCGCTCCGCGATCTGGGGCTCGACAGAGAAGATCCGAGTCTGATGAAGACCTACATAGAAAGAAGACTCCCGCTTGCCAACCACCGCCTCCTGGGGCACGTAGCCCAGTTCGCGGCAGAGGGGTGGGAGGCAGGAGTGCGGCTCCAGAATCCCGAGCTTCGGGGCTTCGCCGCCCGTCTTCTGATATTTGTGGAACAAGCTTCGCTGGACAGCGGACGCCTGCAGCTCGCGTGGCTGCTCGGCGGCTACGCCGAGCCGCCTCCCCAGCTGTGGAACAACAGCCGACGGAGCTCCCTCAAGCCGTTTTCTTCCCTGGCACACCCCAGCTGGGTAGCCGGCAACATCGCTTTTCTTCGAGACCTCGATTATTTCGAGAATCGGATGAGTTCCCTCAACAACAAGGAGAAGGCCGAGCGACGTCAAGAGGATGTCGACACTCCTGGAACCGATGCAAACGCAGCGGCCCCGAGTTGGCGCCGTCGAAAGCCAAAGGCAAAGGCGAGCAGCACAGCGTAGATGGGGGCCTGGGCTCTTTTGAAGGCCGTGGGGTTTTGGGCCGCGGCTACCGTCCCGCAAGTGGTGGCAGCCACGAGTTCCCTGAGCGGCCTTTGCCTGACCTGGACCCCAGTTCTACAAAGCCCCTTTGCCCGGCTGAATTAGTTCAGTACACTCTCCGTGCCCTTAGGTCCGGTTGTTGTGGTTTAAGTTGGTTTATTAAACTCTCCCTTAGGGACCCCGCCTGCGCCGCGCAAATCACCCCTGCTGGTGATTCACTCTGGCCGATCCCACCTCCTCGGTGGCGTTGGTTCGGCCAAGGCCGCAGTAGCAAGTCCAGACGCCGGCGCCGGTATTTTCAGACCCGCGCCCACCTTCTCCAGGTTGTGGTTTGTAGCCTAAATTGGCAGACCCTAGGCTTTCCCCTGGTTCCCCCTCGTGGTTGCACCCTAGGCTGCCCTATAAACCCCGCCCAGCACCGCGTGCTTGAACACCTGGAGGGGCTGCTCGATCACTTTCTCAGTGCGCCGAGTTTTTCGCCCGAGGCTCTGGGTCGCTGTGGCCCTAAGTTTTCTGCATTTGCTAGCATTGCACAGGAACTGCCGAGCAACAATCGCATGGATGTGGACCTCTTTGCTAAATTAGCTAAAGCTTTGCATGTTGACTTTGATGCTTATAGTAAAGCGGAGGCCTCGCGTGAGCCTAGTGCCCCGGAGCCTGCACCTATGAGCACAGCCAATGTCAGGGACACAGGTTCGCTGGAGGCCCCTGTGTTGCCTAGCGCCCCTGCTCGCGCGTCAGCGGGTGGCTCTCCCGCAGAGACTCTCTCGCGCTCGCTGCGTGAGTTGGATACCTTGAAGGTGACTGCGTCCCGCATAAAATGGAAACACCCCCCAGAGTTCGATCCCCTACCATACCTCGACGACCCTCTTCTGAGAGCTGCATACATCGACCCCGAGGTCCTCAGGCTCCCGAGCAGTCAGTGGGCTCACGCCCGTCCCGCCCTCGTGCACGCCGAGCGAAACGAGCTTCTTGCACTTGCTCGGGCCTGGGATGCTCATGGTGCTTTGTGCATTTTTGGGGCTGATGAGCTGAACGCCTTAGATCAAAACGAAGAGGTGGGCTTGTTTGCGGTTAGTAAGGACCTGGAGTGGGACAGACTTATCATCAATCCAACTGTGGTCAATGGGCGCATGCTTACCCGCAACACCTTCTCCAAAGGCCTGTCGCCGGGTTGGCTCTTGAGTTCCTTGCATCTCCAGCCTTTTGAAGGCCTGCGTTATCATGCTGCTGACTTGTCAGACTTTTACCACAGCTTTAAAGTTTCAAGGCGCCGCGCGCTGCGCAACCGGGTTCGCGCACGCTTTCATGCTCATGAGCTCCGCGGACTCAGCTCCTTCGATCCTTCCCTCCGAGAACCCCTCGGGATCGGACTGAACACGCTCGCAATGGGCGATAACCTTGCTGTTGAAGTAGCTCAGGCTGCTCACACCGGCTTGTTACGCAAACTTTGTGGCTGCATGTTGCCTGGAGAAGTGCTGCGCTACAGGGAGCCCGTCCCACGTGGCTCCTTCATTGAAGCTTTAGCTATCGATGACCACGTCTGTCTGCAAAAGCTTCCTCTGGCCGAGCTTCCCTTCGCTGATGATGCTCGTGATGCTCGCATCTTTGGCATGGCTGCCGATGCCTATGCTGGGGTGGGTCTGCGCCAAAACCGCAAGAAGGACAAAGTCAACTGCACCTCGGGGGTTGTCCTTGGGGCCGAGCTGGATGGGATCAAGGGGGTCGTTTGCGCGCCACGGGAGCGCGTCCACTGCCTCTGCATGCTCACGGGTTTTGTTGCCCGTCGTGGTTCGTGTACGCCCGAACTACTCGATTCCCTTTTGGGATGCTGGATCCACGTCCTTTTGTTCCGACGCCCGCTGTTTTGCATCATTGATGGCTTGTTCGGTGAAGGGAAGGGTTATGGTCGTACTCGGGTCTTCAGGTTGTCACAAAAGGCACGTAACGAACTGTTCCTCCTTTCGGTGTTAGGCGGTTTAGCGCAGAGCGACCTTAGAGCCCAGTACCATGACAGCCTGTTTGCCCTCGATGCCTCGCCCTGGGGGGGAGCTGTGTGTAGCGCCGCTGTTGGCGCTCAGGCATCAGCTGAGCTCTGGAGGTACGGGGAACAGAGGGGTTACTACACCCGCCTCGCTTCGCCGGCCTCGGCTGTTCTGCTCGAGCACTCGCTAGAGCATGATGGGGATCGCGCTTTTGGAGATACAACGATTGGTGACACAGACCATCGCGCTCCTTTGCGCCCGTTCAACTTAACGCGCCCTTTGGCCGAAGGTATCCTCTATGATGCCGTTGAGCTGTTCAGGGGTGTAGGGAACTGGTCCGAGGCGCATGCCAAGGTGGGGCTCAGGGTCCATTCGGGGCTTAGCGCTAAAACTTGTAAAGGGCTCTCGGCTGATATCCTTGACGATGCCGTGTGCCGGGATCTCATGTCGCTTGCGGCTCGCCGAGTCGTCAGAGAATGGCATGCTGGCGTGCCGGGCCACACCTATGGGACGCTCCGAAGGCCCCGCCTTAGGTCCCATGCTTGCCCTTTTGGTTTTAAGCCCTCTGACCCTCTGACCTTAGAGCACACAAGAATCGCTAGGCGCGCAGCCCTGATCCTGACACTGGCTGTTCGCTGCGGCCAGCTCATCTCAGTCGAGCAACCTTCTGGCAGCTGCCTGTACCGCTTGGCGTGCTTTCAAAGGCTAGCCAGTCTGGGCTGTGTACTCACCAGCTTTTGCTTTTGCTCGTTTGGTTCTCCTTTCCGAAAGCGCTCCTTATGGCTGCACAATAAGCCATGGGTAGCCGAGCTTGCAGGGGATTGCGTTTGTAAGTGGAAGGGAAAGCATTTCAGCGCACGGGGGTGGCATTTCGACAGCAAGAGTGTTCGTGAGTTTGTCTCTCGCTGCAGGCCTTCCTGTGAAGCAGTCTAAGGGGCTGCCCCTGTGCCCGGTCAGTCTGTTGCCAGCTTTTCTGGAAGCTACCCTGAACCGCTGGTTCTTCGAATGGCTGCCGGCTCCTTGGCCGCTAAAGATGGGCTGCTGCAGCCGCTGAGCAAGGACCTGCAGAGCGCCACCTTGAAGCGCCTGGGAGTCACGGAACCCGCTGAGTTCGACTGCCGTGCGGGCGCCGAAGAGCCCTTTGCAGCCCGGGCCTGGCATGAGGACCCCCCATGGGTCTCCGAGCTGTGCCAAAGCCTTAAGTTCAGGGAGCGGTTTAGGTACCACTTTGTTAAGCCTGGTCACATTAATGTTAATGAAGCCCGGGTCTACAAATCGTGGATAAAGTCAGTGGCGAAGGAGCGCGTCAGTTGCCGAGCTGTCGCCTTGTTGGATTCCCGTGTCACCATAGGCGCGGCGGCAAAGGGTCGATCCAGTTCATATGCCATCTCTAGGGTTCTTCAGGGTTGTTTGGGGTATGTTCTTGGTTCAGGGATTTATCCCGGGTTAATCCACTGTAGTTCGGGCGACAACGTCGCCGACGAACCTTCCCGTGACAAGCCCGTTAAAGCCCCCCTTAGAGAACCCAGCCGTTGGATAACTGATTTGATCGCAGGGAATCCCGCGCAGTTCGACCTTGTGGTGCGGTCGTCCGAGCTGCAGAAGCTGCCAGGTCTCTGGATGAGACTGCTTCTTCTGTTGGGCGGTGATATAGAGAGAAACCCTGGGCCGCGCCGTGCCCGAGCTTTGCAGCCCAGGGGACCGCTTGACACCGAAGCAGGGTACGCTCCGAGCACCACGCACAAGATGCGGAAAGCCTTTGCTGCCTTTGTCGAGAACCTCGTAGCTGTGCAGGGCGTGGTGGCCGAGAGTGTCTTTGAGGACAACCGCGCCACCGAGGCTGCTCTCAGAAGCTTTGGTCTGCATCTCTTCGAGCATGGCTTTCCTCGATATCTTCTGGTTTATGCGATCACTGCTGTGCAAAACCGCTTCCCTGCTTATCGACATCATCTCGCGGCTGCCTGGCAAGTCGATTTGAAATGGAGGCTTGCTGAACCAGGCGAATGCCGCGCAGTCCTTCCGGCCGGGGCCATCAGGGCGATGCTCGCTCTCGGTGCTTTGTGGGGCTGGCACGCTTGGACTGGCCTTCTCTTGCTCGGCTTTCTCGCCATGCTACACCCTGCTGAGATGATTGGGCTCACCAGGCGCGATCTTGTCTTTCCTGCTGACAATCTTGGTCATGTGCGGTGTCTCTATGTGAGGCTCTTGAATCCGAAAACTTCTCGCTTCGCACGTCGCCAACACGGCAAGATCGACGACATGTTCGCGGTTGAGATCCTCGAGACCATCTTCGGTGCATTACCCCGCGATGCCTTGCTTTATCCTGCGTCGATGCACACCTTTCGACGTTACTGGGATATGGCGTTACAGCGCCTGGAAATTCCTTGCAGGGCTGCCGATCGCGGAGCTACCCCTGGTGTTCTTCGTGGATCGGGAGCAACTTATTTTTACCAGCAAACAGAAAACCTCCAGCTCTTGGCATGGCGAGGACGTTGGTCAAGGATGAGAACCCTGGAGTATTATCTACAGGAGGTAGCTGCCCAGATGCTTCTTGGCGAACTCGCCCCGGGAGCCAGAGCTCGCGTCGGAGCCCTTGACCAAGCCTGCGACCAAGTTCTTTACACAGTCTTCTGTTGCGGCGGTGCTTCGCAGTATTGATGGAGTGGAAAAGAGCTGCCATCTTCGTGCGCCTCGTCTGGCGGCTTCTTCAAATCTCCAGCTTTCAGCTGTCTTCCAAGCCATTGCTCGAAGAGCGATCGCTTCAGCTGGCGGACAGCAGTCGGGACATCTTGCAACTGCAGGCGAGAAAGAGGCCAGGGATGACCAAGTATCCCTTGCTGAGTGAAGACACGGTTGCACCTGGCTTCAAGGTTTCAGGGGCCCAGCCCACCCGCCCGGAAAAGAGCTGCCATCTTCGTGCGCCTCGTCTGGCGGCTTCTTCAAATCTCCAGCTTTCAGCTGTCTTCCAAGCCATTGCTCGAAGAGCGATCGCTTCAGCTGGCGGACAGCAGTCGGGACATCTTGCAACTGCAGGCGAGAAAGAGGCCAGGGATAGGGTTTAGGGTTTAGGGTTCCGGGTTTATAGTTTATGGTTTGAGGGTTTAGGGTTGAGGGTTAGTTTAGGATTGAGGGCTCAGGGCTCAAGGTTCACGCTTTGGGTGTGCTTCGGGCTTAAGGTTTAAGGTTTAGGGTTTAGGTTCAAGCTTAGATTCTTCTGCTCGTGTAATGCATCCCCGGCCGTACTCACACCAGTTGAGCCTAGAACCCGCTCACCAATATTCTGTGGGGTGGCTGTGGGGGGGGGGGGGAGGGGGGGGGTAGGGCGGGGTAGGGGCGGGGGGGGTGGGGGGGGCTGGGGGGGGGGGGGGTGGGGGGTGGGGGGGGGGAAAAGGTGCCCCGGGCTTGAACTGCTTCTGTTCCTCGCCTAGGGGGGGGTTACCCATTTGAGGCAAAAAAAAACTCTGACAACCTATACACCTCCGGTTGGAGGCCTCGGCGGATTTTTCGGTATGTTTGTATCATAGATAATTCTGATGTAAGCCTCAGTACATAGAAATATGTCTATGTATATGTACACACAAACATCCCTCCCTGGACGACTTGTGGCCGCTGCCACGTTAAGCCGCTTTAACCCAGGAAGCCTCACACCTTCAAATCAAGCGTTTGTGTGTTTGTGGCCGGTGGATTTGTTTTCAGTCGTGACGCAGGTTTGTCTCAAGATCGAAGTGCAAATGTTTGGTTTGCGAAGCCTTAGCACGGTGCATGAAACTTGCCGATGAGCAATATGCCAGGTTTCGAATCAAAAGTACAGCTTCAGGCTTGTAGACCGGAGTGGCCATTCTGAGACTGCTCTGTTCTGATGAAAATACGAATGCAGATGAAGGCGTCGAACCGATGGGCTACTTATAAAGAAGCCTTCAGAAGTGGATGGTTAGACCTTATTTTTTTTAATTGTGCGTCCATAGAAGATCATTGGGTTGAGATGGAGATGTGCTTTATATGGTGTGAAAGATACGACCTGCAAGGGGTCTTTATCTGAATCTCAAAGCACAACCTCCTCCACAAGTAAGACTAAGTAAGATGTATGAGGGCATCTACATCTGCCCTTTGCAGAGAAGCCCTCGCAATCTTAGTAATCGGAGCTTACCTTGGAACATCCACAGGTAAGCAAGGTTTCAAAGGTCCTTAAAGATGTCTATGCCCGCCCTTTCCAAACCCAGGCCAGAGAGGAGGTAGTGGAAAGTTTCGAGGTAGTTTCGAGATGTTTCAAGAGCCCCCCAGAACCATCTAAGTCTAAGTTTCTCATCTCGACGCCCTTGGCAGTGGTCGATTCCCAAATTCTAAGCTATCTACTGTCTACTACCCCTCTTGAATACGCAAGACAAGCCCGAGTCGATCACGTAATCCTAGCGCAAAGTTGTTGTCTCTTGCATGTATCATGTGTACATTTCTATATGTATGGATGAACTGCGCTGGGATTAGAGTCGATTAGAAGAAGCTGATACTTTTCTGTAGACATCACCATCTGTTGCTGAGACTGGCACGCGTGGCGCGCGGCCTGAAGCTACTTCGGTTCCTCGTGGAGTCGGATTTGTCTTGGACGGAGCACCCGGCTTTCGAGAGCTTTATGATGTGCATGATCGTCCTGAATGCCATCGTGCATCTTGACAGAACTTTGGGTTTTCACATGTTGGACATTCATGCCTGCTTGCGTGAGTGTGCGTTTATGGTCGTTCATCGGCTTAGGTTTTTTTCACGGAAAATTCTTTCTGTCGTTGACCAGCTGTAGCTGTTCGGCTGGGATGTTCCTCCAGCCAACAGATCAAGCTTAGGTGACGTTAACCGCGCTAGGCAGGGTTTAGGCCGTCGGCGACCCTCCTTGCATTGCCTACCGACAACTCAAAGATACAAGAAGGAATCAGAACAGAGAGGCAAAATGCAGAATGCCATCGACCTTTGTTTTTGTTTAGTGAGAGCTCCTTCTCCTGCGGTCTCAATGGCCCTGCCCCAGAGATCGCCTTTTCAGGCAGCCCTGCTAAGTGCGGTTACAACACGTTGTGCCATGCATGCATTTGAATCTGAAGTTCGCCATATGCCTTCGCAGAGACGTTGACAACCAGTAAGTTTCTCTTGAAGCTCTGATGAGCTCCTTTTGATCCTCCGCATGGCGACTGCAGCTCAGGATGTGGCTGGAGCTGGACTACCCAATGCCATTCTGGAATTGGTTTGAGCAGGTCTTGCTGGTTGTCTACACTTTCGAGCTCACCGTCAGAGTGGGGTACCATGGCTGTGGATATTTCGTTCACGAAGATTGGACGTGGCACTACCTGGACTTTGTCATCGACGCTCGGTCTGGAACTTTCAGGGGCCGCACGCTTTGCCTGTGATGCCCGTGATGTCGCCGTGATGTCTGTGACATGACCGTGTGAGCCCTTACAAGCCTGATTCGAAGCCAATGCACCGTGTCGCACATGCACCAATCTGCACTCAGTGGATACGTGTGCTACGACGCTGCTATGAGTTTTCTGTGCTTTGCTGCGCATCAGAGGTCATGCTTGGTGGCTTGGCAGTGCAAGCAGAGGGAAACTCTTCTATTTGCTGAACTCGGGGCCCCATGTACTTGGGGGGAAGGCGTCTTCGGGGAAGTTTGCAGGAGAGGTTTTGAGGCACAACAGCTGTGGGAACGAACTTAGGGGAAATGGCACAGATTGCGTGTGGGTAACCGTCAGCTGCACAGGGCGACACGCAAAGGGGCATGAGGCATGTCTGTGCAGAGCTAGCAGAGCTAGCAGAGCTAGCGCCTCAGTGTTGAACATGCCCTCCCTGCTGCAGTCGCAGTTTTCAGGCGCACGATCACCATAGTGCCCTAAATTATACAAACATGGCAGTGCGCTTGTAGGGGTCATCGACGGAACCAGCCCAGGCATGCTAAAGGGGAATCATGGCCCTCGGGGTCTCTCAAGATGTGAAGTCTCTGGCCAGATCACCAGGGCTACCCCACAAAAGAAAGAGCGAGCACTGTGTCACCGGAGGTCCAGAGGGACCTTGTGCCGACTGGTGTTGAGGGCGCACAGCTACGTGCGGGGGCGGGGGGGTGGGTTGTCCTACAAAAAAAGGAAGCAAGAAGAAGCGAGAGCAGGAAGAAGAAGAAGAAGAAGGAAGAAGAAGAAGAAGAAGAAGAAGAAGAAGAAGAAGAAGAAGAAGAAGAAGAAGAAGAAGAAGAAGAAGAAGAAGAAGAAGAAGAAGAAGAAGAAGAAGAAGAAGAAGAAGAAGAAGAAGAAGAAGAAGAAGAAGAAGAAGAAGAAGAAGAAGAAGAAGAAGAAGAAGAAGAGGAAGAATAAGAAAAATAATAAGAAGAATAAGGATAATAAGAAGAAGATACTGGTAGAAAAGTAAACAGAAACCTCGCTTATGGGGCATCATGCACTGGGTTGGATGCTCATGAATGAAGGCCCTTGCGAGCCAACGCACGATCTTCGCAAACCCAGCATAGATCGAGCCGTCTTCCGATGAGAAGAGCGGCGCTGCCGCACGTCAGCTGGGGTACAAGCCGCCGTGCTGTATGCCTAGCGGCGGGTGAGATCCTGCAACCAGCTTGAGGGAACAAACAACCTGATGAAGGACACTTCATCCCACACGTAGGCACTTATAGCGGGGGCGAGCATGCAAGGATTGCAGACGTAGCCGGTAAGGAAAGTACCGTTGAGCAAGGGAAGCTCGCCAACTCGTGGGGGTGGGGGGGGGGGTTTAGCACAGACTCCTGAATAGTTGTTCCATGTTGTTCCTGTCTCTATTCGGTAAAGGAGGTTCGGGGTTCGGGGTCGGTCCGTCAAGAATGTCGTGCCGTCAATGATGTCCGGACCTTCAACCCCAAAGCCCTCATACTACCTTGGTGTTTGCCAATGCCCCCCCCCCTCCCTCCCCCCATGGAAAAAACTCTCCCAAACCCACCAAACGGTTATCGTCTTTGCAAATGGGGCCCCCAGCCCCCCTGCTCCCTGAAGGCCAAGCTTGCATCAGAGAATATCAGGCTGTCAACAACGAGAAAGAAGAAAGAAGAAAGAAAGAAGAAAAGACACTTTCCTGCTTGGAGGGCGAAGGCGAAGAAGTGGAGACGGAGAGAACAACACGAGGGAGACACGGCGAGAGGATGCGTTCTGGACATGGACAGGGAGAAGGGGATCATTGTCTTCATGTTCTTTCGCTGAGGTATTTTCGATCAGTGGATGATCCCATCATACCAATATCTGCGTGGATTGATACTGGGTCCCAGCCACTCCTCTCCAGTTTCGATGCCCCTTGTGCCTTTGGCGAAATATCAACAACTTTCACACAAAGCTCGGCTTGGAGTGGGGAGTCTTGTGAGCACTTTTGTCAGGTAAAAAGCCTGCGCGTGGCACGCGTGTTTCGCGTGCTGCGGCTTGCGCGACTGCTCAGGAGTCGGAAGACTGCGCATGAGCTGCACATGAGGGATTCCTCATACGACTCTTTAGTACCGGTCTTTCTCTTCGGCATCCGCAGGCACCTCGCGTCCGCATCCCGAAAACATTCCGTCGGTGCGGGAAGCGGGTCCCAAAAGTGCTTCACTTGAGGGCTGATCCTCAGACCTTCGTTCCAAGGGAACCAGGTCAGAGGGCGAGTTCCCAAGGACATTTAACCAAAGTGCTGGAAGCTTCCCAGTAAGTCCCAGACCCCCGAAGAAGCTGTTGGGAACACTGAAAACGGCATCTCTGATCCACAAGTTCTAAAGGGTTCTTGTGTGCTGAGTGCTACGCTGCTACACTCACCCCCGCTGTTGTCGCCATGCAACATGCTTTTGAAAGTCCGGTCATGTGCCCAAGCAACAAAAACTCACATGCCATCCTTTCTGAAGCCCCGTACCTTCCATGGGGCATTCCATGCTGCAAGTGCCTGTCTGGCCGAAAAGAGCGTAGATCTGAGCATGAGGTCCATCATAGAAACTCCATGACTCTCGTTCAGTGTGGACATCAGACTGCCTCCGTCATGGCAGCAGACTTGAGATGGCAAGCTCTTCGTCCCTAGTGCAGATATCATCGTGTCGCCAAAGACTGCAAATCCAGCGCTGTCATCGTTAGCATAACGCCGGTTTCTGGGAGCGGAGCCCAGGTCCTAGGCGAGCTTGACAGAGCTGGCCCCCAGGCTGTGCCATGATGTGACAGGTGTCTCATCCTTGCGCAGGGGCCATGTTTCGATATGTTTCGATGGCACCGCCGTTGTGCGTGTCCAACAGTGTTCTCCATGCCTAGAAGGTCTCAGAATTCGATGAAAACCGTGGCGTCGCGTCCTGAAATCGTGTTAGCTGTGGCTGGGCCGGGTTCGCTAGCCAGCCGGGCAGCTACAAGCAAGCTACAAGCAGCACGACTTGTCTTTCACGGAAGTAGCTGTCTGCGGAGTCACAGAGCTTGATAAAATTGTCATTTTTGAGATGGTCCGTTCACGTGAAACACAGGTAGAGCTTTCAAACAGTTTCAACAGCATGCATCCAAAGCATTGCGGGAGGAGTGTGAAACAGCTTTACAAGCTCATCAATGGCGTGGTGCAGTCGCTGGCAAGTGTCGGATGGGTAATTCTGCTCACCTTTCTGCTGCTGTATTCTGCCGCCCTAGTGTCTCTTGGACGGCGAAGATCTCTGAATGGCAGCTTATGTCTTGAGTTTATGTCTTGGTTGCATCACGATTGCACCGAAATATTCCCGCTGCGTTGAGGTTCACTTCCCTGGTAGGCCAGGGCTACATCTACGACCGCCCTGAAGATATTCCAGAGGAAGCTGTACAGTACTTCGGAAGTGTTTGGCGTTCCTTCTTGGCGCTCTTCAAGTTGATGAACGATGATCAGAGCGTCGTTTCCCCAATCATTACCACGGTGTCTGGGCAGATCTTGTTCTATGCATTCATGATGCTCTCGAACTGGATGATGCTGGCCATCCTCACCTCCGTTGTATCGGACAACATGATGTCCGCAAGTCGCGTCAAGGAGGAGGAGGATCGGCAGACGCAGCTCCAAGAAGAACACGAGCGGGCCAAACGGAGGATCACGAAGATCTTCCGCCAGTTGGACGAGGATCAGAACGGCTTGATTTCTGAAGGAGAGATGCTGCAACTCCTCTCCGATCAGAATCTTCAGGCAGAGCTTTGTGAAGCCGCCTGCTTACACCCTGCGGATTTGGTGGAGATGCTCTACTGCACCAGCCAGCAACCAAGCGGGCCCCCATCAGTACAAGATCGCACGTGGCACGTGTTACAGCGTTTTCCAGTGCCTTCTTTGCTGAGGCTACCGAACCCCTTCCAATGAGAAGGTGATCCTGTATCGGCAGTTCCTGACAATGCTGCAGGTTCGCGCGGAACGGTTCGGATCGGCTCGCATCGGTTCGGATCGATTTGTTTTTTTTTCCTCGTTCGCGCTTTCTCAGTGCATATGCAGATCTTTTTGATCAGGACGAGGCAGGGCAGGCAAAGGAGCGCTCCATATTCAAAGTGCTGGAAGGCATGAGAGTGGCTCGGCTCATCTCGAGAGTGGCACACGCAGTCTCTGCCTCATGAGAGGCTTCAAGAGGCTTCGTTGGATCGAGTGGATCCCTTGTTTGTTTTGTCAGGTCCTTTTCTTCTGCCTATTCTACCTCAGGCCATGGAGTTTCGATTGGAGAAGCGCCTGAACGCCGCGCTGAGATGCGCGAACGTACCCCCGGAGAAGGCTCTCCGAGAGAGCGAGAAATCCGACGGAATCCCATTGAAAATCCCATTGAAAATCCCATTGAATCCGATTCAGAGAATCTCAGAGAGAAGACTTCGTTCGGTTCTTGGTGCTTTGAAGCTTTTTGCTGTGCACGTAGCGAACAGATGGATGAGCTGCCCTCGCTGAAGCAAGAGCTGGAGCGCACGCGCCGCTCACAGCTGCATTTGGAGAGTGTACCCTCAGTGATTCCTGCACGAAGAGAGAGTGAGCATGTGAGCACACCTTGTGGTTCGAGTCGCGACCGTGGTCGTACCATAGACTCTCTCTCCCCAAAATACTTTCCCGAACGGCGTGTGCAGGAGAGATGGAGGACTCGCCAGCGCGCTCCCTTGTGAAGCAGCTCACGCAAAGTGATTCGGCGGCCTCACGTAAGAAGCTGGCTTGAGCCCTCAGCGATCCCTCAGCGATCCCTCAGCTCTTGAGTGGTGAGCCAGGCATATCGAGCAGAGGGCGAGCAGAGGGTAGGGCGTAACGAGGGCAGGGCAACGTACTCTGGTCTCTGGTAGAAAAAGGGGTCCCGGGTCCCACAAAATGCCAGCAATACCATGATTCGTTCTCTGTTGGATGTTTAGCCTTCTGCCAGTTCCTTGGTGACTGGGGGATCTTGGGAGGATGATGGGACTTTCCAGATCGCTGTCCACGAGTTTCTCAGCTCTCTGCCGAAAGTGCAGAGACCGTTTCACGCGAATGGTGTGTATGGTAGAGCAGCTGGCATGCCACTGCGTTTCAAACATCCGCCTTGCTGTAAACCTCAAGAGTAGGGCTTTCCTTGAACCCACATGTATGCAGCTAGCTCTTCGCTCCTTTTAGACTCCTCTTGACGAGCGTTTTTGAATCTGCAGCTGTTTTGCAGGAGCTGTCCGAGAAGGCAGCGCGTGGGGAGCCGCTTCCGAGCATCGTGGTACGCTGCTGGCTTTGGATCGCATGTGCACTGTGCCCGCCTCTCTCGATTTCTCTTCAAAGTTGCCATGCCAGGTCATTCGGGGCCACATTGGCGCTGATGGTGGCGATGTTTGCACGGTGCACCGTCTCAAGAAAGTTGCATGAATCTGCCCACAATTTTCTTTTGCAAAGTTTCGCCATGCTCACCAGCATTTTCTTTAGGCACATCCACATGCCGCCGCATGCCCTCTCAGCCTGAGCCTCTCTCAGTGACTCAGTGGCCCGAGGTCTCCACAGGAATTCATGGCCTGTGCGAGCGCATCGGTGAGATTGAGCAGCCAAAGAATGCCTGGATCGAAATTGCTCGACAGGCACCCCGAATATGGCCCTTGCAAATGTGGCAGCATGGCACGAATCTAAGCCCATCGCAGCCGACTCGCAGCTACTTCGGAGGGTCGCTTCGATCTGTGCGATCACATGCTTTGCTCTGTTGTGCAGCGTGCAAGATCTTGAGTCACCAGGGGGGCCAGGGTTCCGGTTCTGCTTGTCGTGGGAAGAACCGAGCTACATCCGTCGCAGTTGTGTGTTGTGTTGTGCAAGTGTTGTGCAAGTCCGCGGGGCCGCATTGAACTGAGCCGACTTGCGCCCGAACCTTGGCGCGCGAACCTTGGCCCGCGGCGCGCGGTCTGAGGATCTCTGCAACACAGAGAGGCCATTTCACGCCGCCTGTCCGAGAGCACTTAGAGAGCGAGGGAGGGAGAGAGAAGAAGAAGAAGAGAGACACTTCAATAGACACTTCAATATTCGCCTTCACGTGAACCTGAAGTACGCCGTCACGGCCGGGTCCCCTCGGGCGAAAGCGTGCAGAAGAGGAAGAAGAGGAAGAAGAGGAAGAAGAGGAAGAAGAGGAAGAAGAGGAAGAAGAGGAAGAAGAGGAAGAAGAGGAAGAAGAGGAAGAAGAGGGAGAAGAGGGAGAAGAGGGAGAAGAGGGAGAAGAGGGAGAGCAGTTGTTTTTTTGTTGGAAGGCCAAGTCAGACCCCCAGCTGCGCGGTGTGGCCGATGCCGTGGTGCAGCGAACGGGAGTTGATGCCGACGATGTTCCGGAGGTGTCCGTGCCCTAAAAGAAAGGAAGTTGGGGTGTGAAAGTGGTGTGAATCGGTGAATCTCTTCCTCCTCTCCCGTTCTTGGGCCGTATTGAAGTCGAGATGCTTAGGGTGTTTGCTTTCTTGGGCACCTTCAGGCCAGAGCCAGGCGATCCCTACGCCCGGCACAGCAAGAACAGTGGCGAGGACAGTCGCCAAGGGGCGTTGCTGAAAGTCCGCGTTGCGTTCTGTCAAGAAGGGTGCGTGTTCTCTCCTCAGGGGTCCCTCGTGGTCGCCGAGATCCTTGTGGCCAGGTTCGGGAAGCCGCGGCAACTGCGGGGAATTTGATGGCTTCTGTGGTGCCTTGGGTGCCCGACTGCAGGATCTGCGCGAAGCATCAAAGTGTGCGGCGGGAAAAGGCCACTAAAAGGGCATCTTGCTCAGAGCTGCTCAAAGACAGCGAAACGTTTGTTGTCGTGCGTGTGTATATGTGTGTGTGTGTGTCGCGCGCACATGTGAGCGCGCGTGTGGTGGGCGTTTCGCACATGTTGCCCGATGGATGCGGTTGGCATGAGCCGTGAGGTGACCATCAAGCGCCCGCGCAGAAATGAGAGCTACAACTGTAAGCCCGGCAAGTGCGATTGCGATGAGACCTCACAAGTGCGGTCCAGTCGCAGCACCGCGGCTTCAGAAGAGCGTGATTTTTTTTGGCGTGAAGGGCCCCAGGGCCGTGGCCAGGCTTCCACGGAAGACGAGTCTCCGACAGGCTGCACATTATCGACCTGGATGGTGCACTGCTCGAAGTTCTCTGAACAGTTGAAGGCTTCGAAGGTGAGTTTAGCTGATTTTGGTGATTTTGGTGCCAAGGCAACCGAGCTGACATAGAGTTGCCTCCTGCTGATGCGGTGGGGCTCGCAGGCGACGGCAATCGACGTTTCCAGAACGTTTTGCTGGGGTAGCCGTTGTGCCTTGCAGGTAAGCCCATAGCAAGACGATCAGATTGTTGGCCCGTTGGGCTCGAGTTCACTGGGCGCTCAAACATTGGGCCCAACGAGAGCTCCTCAACATCACGCTTCAGCAAGGCATATCTTGGACCCGACAGCAAATTCTAATCTTCAAGGCCGTGACACCCAGAATCCGTCCATAAGCGATGCTGAAAGAGGAGGCGAGTATTATGCCGACATAGACTCCAAACAGCGAGAGACCAGGTGAACCAGTTTCGCATCTGGTGAGCACTGACGTCCCAAAGCGACAGCAGAAGTTCGCATTTGGCGAACACCGACGTCCAAACACGACACCAGTTTCGCATATGTTGAAACCAGACGTCCAGAAGGTTTGGTGTCGTCAAGATCCAAGTGTGAGCTGTGTATGTAATCCCAGGCCAATACATTCTATACCTCTATCTTTATCCATAAGAGAGGGAACGACCCGAGACCCAAGACAGGCAAGAAAAGCTACATACAAAACAACGAAAAACCGTACATGCAACGTGAAGGCTTTGAATGGTAGTTTTTGATAGACGGAGGGAGGTCATGCGGGATGTGCAGAGTAGATATTAGATATCTGCGTATGTATGTATACATAGGTATGCCCATATACATATATACATGTTCGTAAGACTGTTATGCGTCGACTGGCGTGGTGCTTCTTTGCTCAAAGAAGGCCCAATGTAGGAATTTAAGGAGCTTTCAAGAACTTAAGAATTTTTAGATATTTCAAGCAGGTTCTCCAATGTTTGGATTCGTAAATATGTCTAGTTTAGGAAGTAAGGGAATTCAAGGAATGTAGGGAGTTTATCAAATTTAGCAAGTAGGTCCGCACACACCTAATTTAGGGAGTTAAGGGAATGAGAGAACTGCCACAATTCTTTAAATTCCGTAGTTCTTCAACTAGGCTTAACTTAAAAACTTAAGGAAGTTAAGGAATTAGCTCCCGATATCACTTTCAACTGCCCTAATTTATGAATTCAAGGATCTCTAAAGTTTTGAACACGCCGGCTTCACGAATGTAGAGACTTCTTTCTCTTCAATTCCATGAGTGTTACATCAGGCGTTATTTCGGAATTGATGGAGTTTAGAATTTTGTTGCACGGCCCCCTTAATTTCCTAAACACAGGCCAATTAAAACATGTACGGAATTTAGGGAGTTTAGAAAGAATAGAGTTAGCTCCCGGGGCAAAAAGGGGCACCGCATAAGTCGCACTAGATTGTGGCCATCGTGTTCTCTCGTGTTTTTTTGCAAAGAAGGATGGACAAAGACTGGTGCGATCTAAGCGCCTCCTTTTGAAAGGCAGGCAGCGAGCAGGTCGCGCCTGATTTTTTGGCCATCGTGTTTGCTCGTGATTCTCGCCAAAAGCATGGGTAAAGATTGTTTAGGTGCTTTGTGTTTTGGTGTTTGGGGATGGCTTCGCTTTGGATTGCGCTACGGATGTGTAGATTGTTGGGGGGGGGGGGGGTATTGAGTGTGAGGTCTGGCGTCAGCCTCTGCTTGCTGGGGGGGATTGTAGGCAGCGAGCATTGTTGTTCTGAAGGCGTCTCCGATCCTCCACCTCTATTTCTGCCAGCGTGAGCTTTAGCTTCGTTCTCCATGCCCCGCCTCAAGTTTTTGGACCATAAGATGGCCGAATCGGATCCTGAGGTCAGTGATGTCTGGACCGAGTTTACTCACTACCTACGCAAGGATGGCGTTACAGGTGCTGATGGGCGGCTCTGAGCTCTTCAAGTGTGCTCTCAGTGTCGCAGTATGTCGACAACAGTGGGCCGTATGCAGGCCCAAGCGGCCGACGTCAGAGATTAGATGACCTGCCGCCCATGCGCTTGTCGGACAGCTTGTTGTTCTAGTGCTAAGCTATCAATCTGTCTAATTCGAGGAGTGCACTTTCTCAGACCCAGCTCTCTGAACCTAAAATGTGAGAAGGATCCGTACACCTTGCTGTCTGAATTCATTTTCCTCGATGTGCCCGGCGCTCAGAGCTGGTCGGTCTCTCCGTGCCATTTCGTTTTTTTTTTTTTTTCAATCCTGTTTTCTTCTCTCAAAAAGGGGGCTCTCAGGGATTCCAATCTCTTCCTATGAATCTTGCTTGCTTCTCGTTCTCATGTTCTTAAGCTTTCTCTTCTCTTCTTGGTTTGGTTCTTGTTTCTGTCTCCGGGTGCACGTGAGGCAATCGACGGCAGACCTGGGAGGATTCCCCGGAAACCCGCACGTCCTGGAAGAGATCGGCGAGGCAGGAGTAGCGCGCAGCATCGAAAGGTTGTTTTGCCTGTTCAGGGCTGTTGTAGCTAGACACATTCTCTCAGCAACGGCCAACAGCGAAGACCGAGGCAGTATGCACAATTGAATTAGTACTACCAGAGAGACCTTTGTGTTGATATGCATTTCTCTCCTGCGACTTTGCCATGCGTCTTACATAGACTTTTCTTTTCAGATGCATGGAATTACTTAGATCTCTGCGTTAGACTCATCGTGTCGCGAATTCACTTCACGGCTTCCGAGCCAGTTTTTGCACATGCAGCACTCGCTTGCAACATCAACCTACAAGTCGATTCTGATTTCCTATCACAGTCTGGAGGTAAACAGACATGCAATCACGCGTGCAACATGACATGTCTGTGTTGACATGTGCATGCGAAAGTACAAACATGCAAGCTTGTGCAGAGGCATGCATGTGCCATAGTATTATGCACTGGCAAATGCACGTCGGCGCACTGAGAGACTGTTGCTTCGGCACAAGTTTGCCGAAGTGACATGCCGGCGATTGAAAACGAGTGCCACATTTTGCTCCTCATCGACGAACCCCGCATCCCTTTTAGCCTCGCGTAATTATCTTGCGCACTCGGAGCAAGAGCGCAACAACATGAATTTTGCAGCAATATGGCTGTGTTTTCCGTCCTTTCCATGAGCATGTCTGTGGGCACGAGCTTTTGAGGGTCTGCACGTATGCACGTCGATTGTCATGAGCACATGTGTGTTGGTGCGCGCATACACGGGCAGAGTACGTGCACGAAGATGCCAGCTGCGTAACACGCAGACCCGTCTGATCTCATGCAAAGACATTGTGAATATTTGCAAGGGCTGCTGCCCTCGGAGAGACAGAAGCGCAAAAAACTCAGAGAGCGAGAGCGCTCTGCTCTCTCCCTCTCCCTCTCCCTCTCTCTCTTTCTTGTTTTTCTTCTCTCTCTCTCTCTCCCTCTCTCTCTCTCTCTCTCTCTCTCTCTCTCTCTCTCTCTCTCTCTCAAAGAGAAGAAAGGTCGGCGGGGGGGGGGGGGGGGCGCCTTGCTTCGTGTTCTCTGAAAAAAAGCGTCCCTCTCCCAGCCGCAGGCTTTCCGCGTCGGCTCCACTCCTGCAGGGATCCTCAGAGCTCTTAGAAGTCTCACCAGTTCTGGGTGCTCTGGCAGAATGCTTCTCTCCCAAACACTTAAATCAGTGCTCTGAGGCAAAGTTCTTGTGGGAGCCGAGAGGTTTCTATGACTCGGTTCGTGGAGGTGGCTACGACGACGTCGGGGGTCTCAGCATCTCTCAGCATCTCTCAGCATCTCTCAGCATCTCTCAGCATCAGCATCTCTCACAGGGCGGACTCGGATCGCCCTCAGAGAACACTCTCAGAGAATGCTCTCAGAGAATGCTCTCAGAGAGAATGCTCTCTCAGAGAACTCTCCCTGAGGTGCCGGCGTACGCCACGGGCAAGTTCCGCAAGACGGAGATGATCAGCGCCCGAGACTTGCTGGACCGAGCGCAGGCTGTTCCAGTTTTGGCTCTTTAGACGGGTCTGTATTCAAGAAAAAATCCGGCCTCTCTTTTGAGTGCTTCTTTGATATAGAGTAACTCTGATGGTGCTCGTCGCCCATGCGTTCGTGAGTTTTGATCTTTTTGCAGGCTGCGGCCAAGGAGAACACGCGGTACACGCCGCACTGCGCCGCTGCCCTGAGAGGGGAACGCATCTGTTGCTTTGGTTCGTTGGGCTTCCTGTGAGTTTTTCTCGTGCTTGTTGCTGCTTGGCTTCTGCCGTACTTGCGGCTTTTTGCGGCCGCCGGCCGCAGGGGCTAGCAATTACTGGAGAGAAGCGTTCGAAGATTCTTGTTCTGTGGTGTCAAGGAGCCGACCTTTAGTCGTGCTGAGCTTGAGCAACGCAGGGATGAGGCGCCAAGATCGGAACAGCCCTACGAAAGCCATCCGCATTGACTCGCATGAAGGGAAATGTGGGAAACCTGCCGCAGGAGAATTGCTTCCGGTACACGGAGCTGGCCATTCCTCGAGGGATACCCGCCCCTTGGCCTTGGCTTCGTTTTTTCTCTTTTTGCAGAGTCTTCAGAGTGCCCCTTTTCTGCCACCCCGCCCCCAAAAAGGATCTCAGAATGTGAGTGCCCACGCACTGGATGGCCCAACCGCAGCCAGAAAATCCAGAAAAAAAACCCCAGAGTCAAACTTGCCTGGCACCACCCAAGAGAATCCCGCAGAGCCTGGAGTATGAAGTGAAAGATCCCGCGGAGTATCCCTTCTGATGGGCCACCCCGCCCACCCCAGCCCGCCCACCCCGCGCACCCCGCCCACCCCGCCCACCCCGCCCACTGTGCCCACCGTGCCCCCAGAAAACTCAGAGAATTCTGCTTGACAGTATCTTGTCACTGTTCCCTCCGTCATCAAACACTCCACTGCCAGCGACACCTCCCACAGAGCATCCTATCAGTGCCCTTCTATCCGTGCCCTTTCTGTGTTTATCGTATGCCCGAACGAAATAGTTTCACGAGAGTCTGACTGCTTGCATGTTTTGTTGCATCTTGTGGATTCATCGTTCTCCAGCAGTTTAGCAATTGATTGCTTCTGTCTCCCAAAACAGAAGAGAGCGGAGAAACAGAGGCAGCAACAGGCGCAGAGTGAAGGGTCGTTGTGAATGTACTAGTAATTACTATGCAGGTCACCATCCTGGCACGACCCATGATAGCAGAGGCTGATCAGCTGAGAAATGGGTGTTGAGTGCTGAATCGTTAGCATGCTGCAAAGCTGGTGCAGGCTGGAACGGGTGAAGGTGCGCAGCAGAGTTGGCTCTGCCATTGGCAGAGTTGCGACACGCAGCGCAAGACCACGCTTCTCTATGTCGAGTTGCGATACCCCTTTTCGTCGTCGAAGGTGCTGACTGCAACATCCGACTGGTTTCGCCACAGGGCGATGAAGGCACGACGTCGAAGCTCAAAAGAGCTGTGCAGTCCGAAAGAAATATGTCTCCCTCTCCCTCTGTTGCTCTCTCGCTTGCTCGCTTCCTGCTGTTTCTGTCGTTCTTGCCTTTGGTCCCACCCTCGGAGTGCGTAACTCAGCTACGTCCCGTGTACTTCTCACCTTGTCCGGGTCTCCTACTGCCACACCCGCAGAAGAATCTCGCGAACAACAATAAAATCAGAAACTGGCCCGCGAATCAGAAGCTGCGCATCAGAAACCGGCCACGCATCAGAAACTCCGCATCAGAAACTGGCGCGCATCAGCAACTGCGCATCAGAAACTGGCGCGCATCAGCAACTTCGCATCAGAAACCAGCGCGAATCAGAAACTGCGCATCAGAAACCAGCGCGAATCAGAAACTGCGCATCAGAAACCAGCGCGAATCAGAAACTGCGCATCAGAAACCTGCGCATCAGAAACCCACGCGAATCAGAAACTGCGAGTCAGAAACTGCGCGTCAGAAACCCACGCGAATCAGAAACCACGCGAATCATAAACTGTGAGTCAGAAACTGCGGATCAGAAACGCGGTAGGGGGGGGGGGGGGTGGGGGGGGGAGCAGTCGCGTGCAAGTGGTCAGCCCATGTCAGAAACTGCTTTTCAGAAACGCTGTGGGGTGGGGGGGGGGTGGGGGGGGGGGTTGGGGGGTGGGGGGGGGGTGGGGGGGGGGTGGGGGGGGGGTGGGGGGGGGTGGGGGGGGGGGGGGGGGGGGGGCAGTCGCGTGCAGGGGGGCAGCCGCGTGCAGGTGGCCAGCCCATGTCAGAAACTGCTTTTCAGAAACGTGGTGGACAGCGCACGCTTGGCAGTTTAGGTAGGTTTGGGCGCTGTCACGGAATATCTGAAATAAACATGCTGGAAATTGAATCGTATGCCAGGCATGTGAACATGCAGGGAGAAAAAAAAAGCAATCCCGCTCAAAGCTCAGAAGTACATCACGCGCCCCTAAAAACCCTGAACCATAAACCCTAAACCCCTTCGTGGGCCGCCGCGGCGCCTGGACCCGTGAGAGCCTTAGGTTTTTTTTGGGGTTGCCGAAGCAGCCACTTGCAAGTTTCCTAATCAGCCCTAAGACCTAAACCCTGAACCCTGAACCCTAAACCCTAAGCCCTGAACCCTGAACCCTGAACCCTGAACCCTGAACCCTGAACCCTGAACCCTGAACCCTGAACCCTGAACCCTGAACCCTGAACCCTGAACCCTAAACCCTAAACCCTAAACCCTAAACCGTACCCCCTAAACCCTAACCCTAAACCCTAAACCCGAAACCCTAAACCCTCCGGTCTCCGAATCAGCCGTTCACCGGTTTCCGAATCAGCCGTTCACCAGTTTCCGAATCAGACGTTTGCCAGTTTCCGAATCAGCCGTTCACCAGTTTCCGAATCAGCCGTTTGCCAGTTTCCGAATCAGCTGTTTGCCAGTTTCCGAATCAGCCGTTTATCAGTTTCCGAATCAGCCGTTTGCCAGTTTCTGAAACATCCGTTTCCTGGTTTCCGAATTTCCCGTTTCAGTTTCTGATTCACCCGTCTGGGTTTCTGATTCAGCCGTCCTGGTTTCTGATTCAAGCTTGGTTTCTGATTTTCCCGTTTCGGTTTCTGATTCAGGTCTGGTTTCTGATTCAACCGTTTTGGTTTCTGATTCAGCCGTTCTGGTTTCTGATTTTTCCGTCGACCGAATCTCGCAGCGCATCCCTGGAGCTCCCACCCGCAGAGAATCTCGCAAAAATAGAATGGAGTGCCTTGATGCCTGAGACCATGATCAGACAGTGCTTCACTTTCTGCTGCTTTTCCGCACAAGGCCCGCCTCATGCGGACTTAAAGAACCTGAAGGACCGCCTTTGAGAGCACCAGAGCGGGGTGTTGCACCGGGGCACCGTAAATGCATGTAAATGCTTAATCAGGCTTAATCCCTCACGGTGGTGGTCCAGAGCCTGCAAGTGCCAATCTGCCAAGCCACACCATCATCCCCAAAGTATCCCAAGCATATCCAAAGCCAGTTCATTGCTGTGTGCAAGAGATCGAGCAGAACTACTGAAGTGCACGTGTCTCCCTGGGGCTTCCTGCTTGGAGGATCGGTTTCGCTTCCGCATCCTCCGCGGCCATCAGGCATGCGATGCATATCTTCGAATGGCAGATTAAACTGCTGGGTGCGTAGAAGTTCCGCTGGAGCAACCTAACGTGTGGGCTTCAGAGTAGCAAGCCCTCCCCTCAGCCCATCACCACAAACGTCTCAGAACTGTAGAGTTCCACGAAAGTCGACCGCCAAAGCCAACATCTCAGCGTGACTTGGGGGTTGTTTTTGGATGTTGAGTGGTTTGGGGCACCAGGGGCACCAGCTTCGGGGGCCTCTCGGCCTCTTCTCTGGCTTCCGGGCCTTTGGGACTCGGCTTGGCGCACCTTCAAGCCTGAAGCCCTCAACATTGTGCTAAGCTAGATACATGAGGTACTCAACTGGTACTCAGCTAGTCGCTGAATTCAGGGTTCCAGAGGCTCTCGCTGGAAGCAAAGTATACTCACTTGTGACTTTGTTTCTGGCTCGCTTGTGACCTTCTTCTGGTTTTGCCTTCTTGTGACTCTTTACCTCTGGAGGTTCTCGTTTGTGCCCGTTTCGTCCTTGTTCAGAGCCACAACCCCTGCATGGGGTGCTTCTCGCTTACGCCTTTCTGGTTACGGCTCCGTCTTGCCTGGGAAATGGACACAGCTAAACTCATCAGGCGTCGCTTGCATCTGGCTTTCTCGTTCAAAGGGGGCGCTTCGTGAGCGTGAGGCTTGTGGCCTAGAGCGGCGCTCAACATCGGTACATTGAGGGTTTCGTTGCTCTCACATGGCAGGCAAGGTTGTGCAGGTTGTGCACGTTCTTATCAACCCTTTCCTCCCCTCCCAAGTTGTTCTGTCCCTTTCTCCTCTTTCATGGCTCGGGGGGCAGGACAATCGAATTCCCTCCTATACGCAATGTTCGCACTACTCCAAGGTGTTTTCCTCGTCGGAAGTTTTATCTTACCCCAAATCCCTGCCATCCTCCCTTGCGGATCCTGTACAGCAGCGCGAGGTGGAGAATCTGCTCCGACACCGGGACCAACTCACATGCGTGCCTGCTCTTGTTTCTGCGAACTGTAAGACGGGCGTGACTAGCATTTGTAAAACATCTACACAAGAAAGAGAGCAGTGCTCCCTTTCTCTCTCTCTCTCAATCTCTCCTTGTACTCTCTCTAGATACTCTCTGATGCTCTCTTTGGGGGGGGGTGCTCGGGGGCAGGAGCTGAACCCGACGGCCTACTACGGCTTGGCCTTAGTCGCGGTCGCCTTCATTGGCTGGGCTGCGCAGCTCTCCGTGTTCAGAAAGAAGATTTGAGAGGGTGTGCGGTTTTTGGTTGTTGTGCTTTGAAGACTTAGCTATAAGAGTACTTGAAGCACTTTGCTTAGCTGCCTTCGATCCTCCACCGTCGCAGCCGAAGGTCTGGATATCCGGGCCTCGGCGCCTGACGACTTGGAACCTCGAGCCAAGAGCGCGGAGTTCTGCGGAGTGATGCGGAGTGATGCGGGGTGTCACCTGTTGAAGCCTTTTGCGAAGCTCCTGGACTCCTGGACAGCTCGGCCCAAGCTTCTTGTATTTGCACAAGGATGCGGCCAAGCTAAGAGAGGCCTCACGGGACTACTACAGAGTCCGTGACAGCTTGACAGCGCTTAAAGACAGAGCGCTCTTGAGACAGCGGCCTCTCCGCACCTGCCGTGAGAATCATCCCCCCGCAGGCTTCAGAGCAAAACATGAGCAAAGGCCTCACCCTCGCTTTGAGTAGCGGGCTGCGTCGTTAGGTCGAGAGCACTTCCACGCTTGGCTCTTCGCCGGTCGATGTATCGCACATCTTCGCCCCGTTGTCTGTGCTTTGCGCATGTGCATCAAATGGGTAGCAATCGGCCATCTTGTAGCATGTCTTGTGACATGTATCAGTGCTGTGACAGCATCTTGCGTCGCGACGTTGGCAAAACGCAGAGCTGCTGCTCATTGTTCATAGCATGCTTCATCAGCATCAAGCTCGGGTCACAACTGGGAGCCTAGAAACAGTGCGCCCCATGGCCTTCGCAAATTGCGGTGCCGAAAGCTTACTCCTGAGTCTTCTCAGTGGGCCCCCAGCCCTTGCACTGCGCTGAGACTTTCATCCTGGCGCACACCGGCCGCAAAGAGGACTTTGACCGCTTGACCGCTTGACCGCTTGACCGCTTGACCCGGCCCCAAAGTGTACCTCCCCGCAAGCTCTGACACTGGAGTTGGCTCGTGCTGTTTTGTGCTGTTTTGTCCTCGTGCTTGTCCCTATTGCTCGATCCTTTGAAGCGCTAGATGCAAGGTATACTCTAGAAATTGTACTCTGAAGCTTGAAGGTTGCTCGTGCGAGCACTACACTGAGAGCAAGTCGCTTGAGCTCAAAAGCACACCCCACGAGCCTCACAAAATTTTTGGGACTTTCTTAAGCAGAGAGAGAGGAGCCAGACAGGGTCTTCCTCAAATCTGTTCAGAAAGGCGTTCTCATGCCTTCTTCCAGCAGAGACGTGTGTCTCATATCAGTTTTGTACTGGATTTCCCACCCGAGGCCGAACCGCGTTCTGAGCCCCGTTCTGTCCTGCTCACCCATCATTCCTGACAGAACATGCCTGACGCAACAGTGCGCCCGACCGATCCCAACAGCACTCCCGTTACCTGCAACCTTCTCTCTCTAAGTGCCTCGTGCTCATTCGCAAGCCAGTAACACTTCGGCACACACCTTGGGGTACTGATCCCTGGGCATTTGAAGCAACGCATCAACTCAACTCCATCAACTCCATCAACTCGTCCCGTGGAGCTCACAAGCGCAGTTGGCTTCAGCCGCCATGCGCCGAAATGCTGCGCCATGAGCCGCGATGGATACCTTTGAGGCGGGGGCTGCACCGGAACGGCGGAGATAAAATGGAGATAACACATTTTTTTAAACTTTTCCCCTTTGGAGTGCAAGGTGAGCTTCTCGAAGTGCTTCTCATGAGCTTCGATGTTCAGGCCGGGCGATTGGCACGGCAGGCACGGCAGGCAGCGCTTCGTGGCCTGTGCCTCGGTCGATTGCGCTTCCGCAGTTGTCAGGGTTCCCTCAGTTCTCAACTGTTTGGGGGGCTGCACTCCCTCCAGACAATCTCCTCTCCGTCCCCACATCTCTGCGCATCCGTGCGCTCTCAAATGGACGCTTTTGCTGGGATGTGTGCTCATTGCTGCGTGGGCTTGCCGCAAGGTCTCCTGGACGACTTGGAAACCTCCCTGGCAGAGGTGTGAGATGAGAGAGCTCTGTTCAGATGCCCCCATGTGTTGATGTGCGTTGATGTGCGCGAGTGATAACAGAATAAGAGAGAAAGGTTGAGCATGATTCCGCTCCAGCATCTCCAGCATCTCCAAGCTTCGAGGCGAGACATGTCTCAAATCATGTCAATTGATTTTTCATCTCCCTGAACAATTTGAACCTGTTGAGCACCCCCACATGCTGTTGATGTCCAGAAGGGTATAACCTTCCAAGCAACCCCGTGCTGAAGCCATGAACCGCCCGACACCCGGGGAAGTTTCCCCAATTCCCCCACCCAAAACAAAGGGGTGTCCCGTTCACGCGTAAGGGAAGAGAGTGAAAAGGGCGAGAGAGAGCTGAGAGGTTCTCTTTGCTTTGTTAAGCACCATGTCTCCCCCCCAACAAACGGCGTGGAGTGAGAGGAGTGGAACACGAGGATTGGAACGAGGACTGGCAGATTACTGGCGTGGCTACTCGTCGAGCAGATGAAGTGGGCAGGGTGCAAAAGCAAGACGCGAAAGCAGCATTGAGAAGTACAAGCGCAAGAGCGAATAGCAAGAGAAAAAAGAAACCATGCGAATGAATACGCCCCCGTGGTGGCAGAGTGGGGGCAGGAGCTGGAATCGGAGGCGTCGTAGTCTGAGTCTCAGTCTAAGTCTCTTGAGTCTTAGTTTCAGTCTCAGTTTGAGTCTCAGTCTCGGTCTTAGTCTCGAATCTGGGTCTTAGCCTTAGCCTTAGCCTTAGCCTTAGCCTTCGCCTTCGCCTTCGCCTTCGCCTTTGCCTTCGCCTTCGCCTTCGCCTTCGCCTTCGCCTTCGCCTTCGCCTTCGCCTTCGCCTTTGGCTAAGTCTTTAGTTTTAGCCTGAGTCTTCCAGTAGACTTAGCCTAAATCTTCGTCATTAGCCTTAGCCTTAGTCCTTGTGCTTCGTCCTTAGGGCTTAGTCCTTAGTCTTTGAGTCATTGAGTCTTTTCGTCTTTCGGTCTTTCAGTCTTTTAGTCTTTCGTCTTTCTATAGTCTTTAGTCTTTCGCCTTTCGTCTCCGTCAGAGTCTTAGTCGTCGTAAATTGCCCGAACCAGACTGAGGGTAGCACGCCAAAGACATTGCTCGGCGATGTGTAGCAATGCCGCTGCGTCACAAGAGAACGGAAAGACAGATGCACCAAGACAGATGTGCCAGAAGTCTCAGTAGCACCTCTGAGAAGGCCACGACCTCTTTCGGCTCGACGTTCCGCACGTGGGGAAGCGACTCGCGCAGGCACCAAACACAGCTCCCGAACCGCACCCAAACGTTCCAAGTGTCATCCGCATCTGGTGCGTGTACGGTTGCTTTCAGGAACCCCTTGCTGGGATCCACGCTGTTCGCATGAGCCTCGTGTCTCCGTGTCTCCACCTCTTCTTTCAAATTTTCTCACACTTCCTCACGCTTTCCCCCTATAATTGATTCATTTGATATCACTGATATCCCCTAGGCTTACAGCACAGAGGTGCCGCCGGTACGTGCGAAGCCCAGGATCCATCGGTGCAATGGCGGCCTCGTGTCATGCCCCCTTCTGCTTTTTTTTTGCGAAGACACACTTCTCTCTCTCTCTCTCCTTTTGCTGAAAAAGGAATCATTAATGATAATTAGTATTGTTGAGAGTGAGGCATGGCCTTGCCGGCCGCGACGGCCGAGAGAGACTCGGAGAGCGAGGAGGCGAGGGGGCTCGGGCGAGCTCGGGGAGAGGGCTGCGACGTGCGCGCACAGGACGCAGGCAGCCCCCCCCCCCCCCCCC